GCATTGCATACCCATCAGACCCTGCCAAAGCGGGATGTCCAATTTATGGGCTTAATAACGAACTGTTATTTGGACATTCACAAAAAAGATCGGATTTCAAATCGGTTATACACCGACTGAGAAACGGCGATTTAGATGATGTAGTCTAAGATTTGAATAAAAATTTCCTTTCATATTTTTATTCAAATAATTCATCATCTTAACGAACTCTTAGATTTTATAGTCTAAGATGTTTACCCAAAGTCCTCTCTATGGACCTTGAGAAAGATACATATGCGCAATCTTGCATTAGACCTATATGTGTTTTCAAGAGTGGTCTGATCAGACAAGTTAGATTTGCATTATAATATAATTTCTTATGACATATCTTCGTGCCGTATGTTAGGAGAAAAGCTTTGGCCTTGGCAGTGCAGATGGACTTTTCGGGAAAACATAGGACATTGTCAGAAATTACAAGGTTTTAACTCTACATAATTCCTCTCTCTCCTATCCCTTCTGTCTAATCTCTTTCACTGTTGGAAAACACACTTCACATAGTTCGCTGTTCTTTGAGCTGAAATGCAAACACGCAAAATCAGGTTCTTCTCCATCGATTTACATGGTTTATCATCTCGCTATCCCCACTGTACGTTTTACCGTTCTTTCAACTACTGACCATTCGTAAAGTGTTCACTTTATATCATAAAATTAAGTTAACTTAATTTGCACTAAGAATTCTACCACACCACGCCCCATCATTTCCTCAACTGGACTGCATCGATTTCTAGTCACAGATTCATTGCTGTCGAATTTCCACTCTGCCGAGGCCAAATCTTTTCTCCTGAGTGCAACGAAATCCACTCACAAACTCTCCATAGTGTGACAACGGTCGGTGCCAACATGTTCAGGCGTGTTCCAGAGAAATGGACAGAGACCTCTCTGAACACCTATTGTAACTACGAGGCGTCCATTGTTTGATCATTTGATAGGAGGCGCATTTGACTGTGACGTGCACAGGGTTGTACTTAGGCACAGGCCTGGGGCTCCCCAATAAAGTTAATTTTGACAAAAAGTTTTAAAAAACACGAATTCTACTATGTAAAAATTACAATGATAAATATCATTGTCATGCAAAGATACTTGAGGCCCGGGTGCAAGAAGAAATCGGGGTCCCCTTACTTATTTGAGATAAGAGCATATTAAACCGCGCTGCAATGAGTAAACCAAGTTCGGGAGACCGGGTCACGCCAAATATTTCCTTTCGTCTTATTGTGTGCAGGTTTCAGTGTAGTCTATGTGCACACTTAGATGACAATAGCTCTTGGTTCAAAACATAAGCAGAACAGACACGTGGATCTAAAAATAACACCCATCTTTGCAGATTTCACAACATTATTACAAGCAACCTATGGCCACTGCTGGTAGCCATAGCAGTTGCAGGTGATACTGAAATGGTATGTCCTGGTCTGGAAATGACAGTCCTGCATCCTCAATGCATCAATGACAGAAATATTTGTCCTCAGAACAGCACATGGGAGCCAAGATCCAAAGTTTGTGACATGTGTGATGGCTGCACAACTTACCTACGTGAGTGTGAAATAGTGCTTCTCAACATTAGTTTATCGTAAATCATAGTGCTCATTCTTCTTCTTCTTCATCATCTCATACCCTTTTATCTCCTACGTGTAGCATAGGGGCCTCCTTTCAGAGGTTTCTGATCTATTTTTAGACATTTAGTAGGGAAGGAGAGTGCTCATGGCATTAATATATATGGAAGTGTCTGTATTATTATTGTTGTTTCACTGTTATAATTGTTATTACTACCAGAACATGTAGCATACATGAAAGAGATGAGAAATTCACACAAAATTTTAGCCACAAAATCTGATTTGAACAAAGCCTTCATATGATGTAAATATTCACAAGTTCCCACCAAAAAAATTTGTCATTCCTTGGTCAGACAGGATATACCATCACTGTCTACAGACTTTTATCATTACTCTCCTTCAGTTCGTTAACTTATTATTACCATAACGCGTTGTGTTGCCAACTCACGATGACTGATGCGATGGCGTTGTTTTATCTTGACAGAACAAGGTGATGAGTGTGAACCAAATGGCATTATGTCCTGCAAGCCAGGATATGAATGTGATGTACAGCAACTCATATGTGTGGCTAAATGTAAGTACAGAGTTTCTTTTATTTTACAAGTAAAAATATTATAAGTTCCACCACAGAAGTAGAGAATGTATGAAGATGACTATCTTCTGGAATGCTGTGCCATGTAGTCTGCTAGAAGTTTACTGATATTTCAGAAGTGCACACTGCCCACATCATCATGGAAAACATTGCCCTGATGATGAAGGCAATAATCACCTCTGAAACACCAGTAAACTTCTACCAGAATGTATGGGTGCAAAATTCCAGAAGACAGTCATTTTCTTACTCACCATTTTAGGAACCTCAAGAAATATACCTCTATTTAGGTCTGAGATGGAATTATGATATTTTATCTTCTTTTATTAGAGTATCGTGTGGTCCAATTTATTATATTGTCCGTGCTTTAACATTGTAGCAAGGTGAATGGAAATTTCCACATATTCTTAACCTGCCCACTAGATGGTGACGCGTGGTCAGCAATGCCTGCAGTGCAGTATATCTTCATTACGAGTGAAGTCTGTACTGCAATGCCAGTCTTTAATGGAATGATGAATTTCTGTCTAGCACTTAAATAGAAAATGCAACGATACTTTACTGTGCCTAATATATATTTTTCCCATTGTATTGTATTCTCAGCCATTCACTGCACCAGTCTCACTGTATTAGTTGCCTTCACAAAATTATGTAGATTCTTATATAACCTGCCACTACTGCCTATATTTCTGTGTCTCTGCAGCGTGTTCCTGCCAGTACAAATTTGATATCAACTACTACAATTCCTGGAGACCAAGGTGTGATGGATATGACTATGGACCTGTACAGTGCAAAGGGGAGAAGCCCACTGGCAGGTATGGAAAGAGTTTATGATGCAGTCTGAAGTTACAAAGCAAGGAAGCTGCAGCTAAGAAAAGATAGTTTTGTGTTTCTAACAAAAGTTCAAGATTCATCTTTAATTATGCCCATCCTAATGTTGATTATATTTGAAAATGATTCTTGCATGTGCAGACAATTATATTTTTTGTTTATGCCAAAGGAAAGGTCATTTTTCTGACTCTGCTGTACCTATTATTTCACTGAGTGTCACCATGAATTCTGATCCTAGTCTTGAATAAACCTGCCAATTTGGAACCAAGGCAACCAGGGGTTTTTTGGTCTGTTATCCAAGGTTTCTTTTCAAATTCAGTTCAATAAATTTCATGATGGTTACTAAATGTGTCAAAACAATCAAAACGAAGTATTTATTTCCCAGAGCCAAAAGGCAAGCTGAGACCACTTCTAAACAACCATATTTTTTTTAATCTCATTAAGTCTAAATGTATGATGGATATGCCAGTTGGCACTCCATCCTGGAATTTGCCCTCACCATGGAAAATTTTGTTCTGATAAAGAACGGAATAGAAAAATATTAGTGTGTTATTGATATGTTTATAACCTGAGAAGATAAACACGGAACTGCCATGTGCTTCATTGCAGGTGCTTCTGTTTTGATAAGAAGGGGAAGAGAATATTTGGAGAACAGCTATGGTCTAAAGCAGAAAACATGACATGCGGTGAGTTCACGTTGATCCACCATCCCAACAGACGCTATAGAAAATTAATCAAAGTTATAAGCATACTCAGTCACCAGGCTATAGAACCTGATGACAAAGCTGTGTTATCAGGTTTTGTATATAAGTAAAGCCATCCCATTTTGTGCCAATGTTGGCACTTCGGGGAGAGGAGGTACAGCTCCCACTCATTCTCGGCCTCAGCCCTAGAAGGGAGTGAGAGGTCAGCAGCACACCTTGGTCATACTTTACTCTCAGGAAAGGACCTTGGCACGCATTTGACAGGAGGTTGGGTGGGCCCCAGATCCAGTCTGGATGCAGAGGCCACAAGAAAATCCTCTGCCCATCAGGGATCGAACCCCAATTGTCCAGCCTGTAACCAGTCACTGATTGAGCTAACTAGCTCTCATATATACGTACTTAAGTTTTATAACGAACAAACATTTTGCTTATACACAGATCAAAGTGAAAATTATCAAATGCTATTTAGCAAAAACTTAGCATTCATCACACTTTATCTGCCTAAACTTACTGTGTTCAGCTGTGAAATCAGAGATTTAACTGTTCTGTGCATCTGTTTGTTAAATTTCCCATAGTTAAAGAAAATTTTGGCAAAAGAACATGAACTGAATTTGTTAAATATAGATTAATTTAGCAACAGGAAACATGTCTCAACTGTGAAAACTTAAAGGTGGCAAGGTTATGTTATTGCAGATCACCGAAATCTATCACGTTTCAATTTCGCCTAGCCAAAATACCTCAAAAGACACTGTTCATGACACCACATGTGCTTGAGCTGGTGTTTAGAATATTAGATCTGACAGAAGTCTAGTGTTGTTACACATTTCATAGAACGTTCCTAACATTTCAGTAATGAATAACGCTTGAGGCTTTTGTGGTGACTAAATGCAATGAAATCTCCTTACGCTACTAGCCATGTCAAAATGGAATCATAGTCCGTTTCAGAGACAATGTCTCCATCATCAGGGAATGTGAAGGAAAACATCAATTTGCTGTTCATATCTACCAAAAATGGTGCCCTTTCATGTATGGCCATACATAAAAGGGATCATTTAACAAATTAATATACTTTTAAAAGCTAGTTTGCTTGTCCATGTGTGCCCCCCTCCAATAACATTTAAACCACTTCAAAGAAATTTGGTATGAATATCATGCCACTAAGACAGCAACCTACAAGTACACATATTGTTGCAACCCAGTAGACCAATGAGAATCTCATATAGGTAACTAGCTATACAGACTGAGATTTCCTATGGTTCTTCTTCAGTTTCTCAAAACAAATAATTGTAATAGTATTCTCCATCAACTAGTTTGCTACACATAACAAATTATCTTAGTTTATTAATCACCGTTGGCTTCTTCAGATGAGTCAGTGTCATTAAACAATCCGCAAATCATTCTTGTGCCACAGCATGCAGCCGTCGAGTGCTGGAATTGCAGGAACAGGGTCGGATAGATGTGACATTGCATTGTAATGAACAAGGTAACTATGACGAGTTGCAATGTGACGATGGGATGTGCTGGTGTGCAGAAGAAAGGACTGGCACACCAATCTCTCGCATCCTGCCTGAGAATATGATGACAATGCTACCATGTTGTGAGTATCATTGCCAGTTTTACTTTTTCAGTGACAGAAATTACGTCAGCATTCTAAACGTTCTCTCCTTCTGTCAGATAAAGTGATCAAATTCAGTGGGTGAAGAGCAGTGATACTTCGATGACCTGTCACCATTGCATGGTGGAGGTGCAAGTTGTGGGTGAAGGAAACAGAGTTTGTATTGCTTTGGAATCTCTATATTCCTTTTGTAATTTGACAGAATTAGAATTATCTTGTATTTTACTCTTGCAAATCATATGTTTAAAATAATCACCATCCTGTTATAGATGACAAGGAACTCACTGGGTCAGGATATCTGCGGCAGTGTGAGAGTTTGTTATTTGCCCAGAAGAAAATAGAGATTGAGATGGCAGCACATAATTCAATAAACCCAAACTTCCCTCACACAAACTGTGAGTTGGATGGAAGCTATGGTGCAGTGCAGCAGGATGGAAACCAGTAAGTCAATCAGTTGATAACTGTAATCAAAAACAGTAATTAATGCGAGGAAGACGGCAGTCTTCTGGGTTGTTGCACTGTGTAGTCTAGTAGAAATTTACCAACGTTTCAGAGGTCATACTGCCTCCGTCATCAGGGCAATTGCCCTGATGACGGAGGCCTCTGAAACGCTGGTAAACATCTACCATACTACACAGTGCAACAACCCAGAAGACAGCGATCTTCAGACTCACTGTTGTGAAAACCTCAAATCCTACATAGTAACTAATGTATCACTAAATTAATAATAAACATTAAATTTAAAACCAAAGCTAAAAACAATGGTTTGGTACTTTCTGATTAGGCAGCACTAACAGACTGTTGTATGAAATGAGAGACCCAGATTCAGACTTAGATCAGGTGGAAAAATTGTTCTCTTGAACAAAGATAACAATAGCATCATACCACTTCCCTAGAAAATAAAATTAAATTCAATAAAGTATAACTCTGATACACATTCCTCATGTATTTCCTCACTCAGACAAGGTATCCAATTCTTCTTACAGATTCTATTGTGGATGGAAAGACAAGAGCAGAATTAATGGCTATGCTGCTGAGGTGAAGGATGCAGCTGCCATGAACTGCAGTGAGTACTGACCACAATTTATTTTTTAGGCCAAAAACTTATGAACTGGTTAAGTTACACAATACATTACAGGCATGTTAACAAAGTCTGCATAATTTTCTTTTGGTCCATTAATTTTCCTTCCATTTCATTTGTTTTAGTATTCCAAAATACTACATGTAATTTCATTTGAATTGCTCAGGTTTAGTGCCATTAGTATGACTGGTCAAATTGTGTTTTTGAACGTGGCTACGCTGATGTATTAATATCTTGCAAGTATCATCTTAGCTTCAGTCATTTTCAAGTTAGGCATTAATGTTATTACAAATTCTTAGCATGACATGTATGAAATGAATGCATACAGGGCTGACCATCTGCGTGATTAAATATGAGAATTGTTGAATGGACTGGATTAAATTTGGTATGGATATTATGCCACTGGAGACTACCCTACACTCTTGCTTTTATAATTTCCTACTTGGTGGACAAATGAACTTGAGATATGGAAACAACACTATATAAATATAAACCTTACTGTTTATATTTTAATGATAGTTTTCAACATAAAATTTTATAAAAATCCACTCCACAAGAGCATAATGTTAACAGTTCATGGAGAGATGAACATGCCCTGTTCAGTTTTTTCCCCATTTTATACTCAATTCATGTTACACATAAAAATCAAATGTTTTAGGATGTGCTCGGGACAATAAAATGTATGGCAGTGCAAATCAATGCCTGGGCAATGGCAACTACAATCCTGAACAGTATACTAACAATGGCACCAGGTACTGCATAGATGCAGATGGCTTCCTTGATGATAAAGCATGTCCTGATTCACCTGTCCAGTGCTAATGAAAGAAGAATTCTCTACAGCTGAATACACAAAGCAACCAAAGGCATTCAGTATTACATAATTCCAGTGTTTTCAAAGTTGTATTCAGACGAACATAAAAGGTTAGATGAATGTCTTCAAATATTTTGTTAAATTGTTCAGATCAACAGACATTTTCCAAATTAAGACCTAACAATTTCAGCAATGTGGAGTGCAATAAAATATTTCAGTTTATTCGAGGTTAACTCAACCAAGAAACCACTGCCACAGAAGTTAACCTCCCATTCCACAACTCAAATTCAAATCATGTAAATATATTCTTCAACATAAGAATTACCTTTCAGTGATTCATGCTAGAAATTTTTTAAATTAATAATTGTACTAATTTATATTTGTGATAGTAAAGTCGAAGTCTCTGCCCAAATAAACCTCTTAATTATATTGTCATAAACAAGTGAACTAAACCTTCATATTATCACAGGCACCCTGCCTGATCTGTCATACTTTATTTCACATGCTATTGTAAAACTGAATTCTTTTACCTAAAATACTCCTAATAATACTTGGAAATAAATGGAAGAAGTGATACAGATAACTAAAAACAATAGATAAAACACCTTACCAGATAAACTACTTCGATATTCTCATTCTCACTATCCAGTGGTCCATTGTCCCATGTCCTTGTCCACACAAGCCAATAGAAGTAGTGGGCAGAGACATGCATTGTCATCCCCATCATCACAGTCTGTGGTACTGATGTGCATTATTTTGTTCAATTCTATATAAAAAATGGAATATTCTGATCAATTTTAGTAGATTTCCCAATATAAAATGTCATCAAACCCCATTCTGCAGCCTTTAAAGTGTTACATGCAGATAGAGTAATGTAGAAAATATAATAGGCATTCTTGCAACCTTAAGTTGTGAATTCACCTAAAATTAACATAAAAACAATAATGTAAAACTCAGATACCAGTTCACTTAAAAAATGTGGGAAAATGAAAAGAACAGCCTGTCAAACAGGGTACTAGAGGTGGAAATAAAAGGATAATTACCAGTGGAACACCCTAGATACAGCCAGATGGATCACACAGCAATAAAGATGGCATGGCTGATAGGAATGACATCAGATTTATAGTACAGTACGGAAATATTTATGCAACAGTCAACAAAACTTGATACAGAAGAAATTAATAACAAAACCATACAGCTGATCAGCTGATGTACTGTTTATTAGATCTGTTTTGCTTGAGGCTGACAGTAATGGAGGTAAATGAGCATCATAAAGCATCAGAAGTAGTGGTCAAGCTGACATTCAGATTGCTATCAGATGTGACGTTCACTTTCCAGTAAGACAAAAATTAATATTGTGGGTTACAAACAGTTCCTAAACTCCACCACAGTGCTTATCACACAGATCCTGTATGTCAAAACATGTACATTCTTACCAACTAACTCATAATAAAAAATTTCTAAAATAACGAGTTCTTTAAATAATTATATCTTCTCCTTCCCTTCATAAGAAATTTATCCACACTACACTTACTGATAAAATGCCAGGCTTGTTTAATCTCTAGCAGTAATTGGTTCAGACCAGATCATACAATTTTGGACAAAATGTTTTGAGAAGACTACTTATCTCCAGTAGACAGAAATTCATTCAGCTTTGATGCTTCACACAATGAAAGCAATAAATAGCATAATAATGCCAGCTAACCTCCATTACACAGTACCGTCATCACAATCAGCTGGTCAACAAATTAATTTCATTAACATTCATAAAACTGTTATTCCTAGCACTAACAAAATATGTACATTTCAACAATAAGTACATCAGTTCTGCTTCCCTCTAGTGGCCATGCTACTGTTAGAATCAGAGAATTGGTAAGATTTTCCACTGACATGTCCACAACCACTAGTGTGAACCTTGGCACCACATTTATAAAGGACAGGCAACACCAACATGTGAATTTTTGAAAAGACAATAGGAGGCAACAAAAACTCAAGATTCTCTTCACTTGAATGATTCTGGCCATAAATCCTGCAATTCGTTTAGTATGTTGTCTCTCTTACTTATTCATTTATAGTTTATTTAACAACACTTTCAACATCTCAGACTACGTAGCATCAAATGAGAGGATGATAGTGGAAAGAATGTGGTTCCTGCCCTATCAAAGGTACTATTCCTAGCAGGAATTAAGGAAAACCACAAAAAACCTGTCAGGATAGCTGGTCTCCATGCTGAGATTTGAACCTGGGACCTTCCAAATACAAAGCAGGAGGCTAAGCACTTGACCACAATGTTCAATCATACTGCATGTCAAACATTTAGAAAATATTCTGAAAAACACAACTGTATTCCTAGATATAACTGAAGTTCTATGTAGACTACCAGACTACACAGTACAACAAACCAGAAGACACCATCTTCTAACTTGCTGCCATGAAAACCTCAAGTCCTACATGATATCCTGAAGCAGATTATTGAAGAGTAACGAAGAATGTGTAACAGAATTCATACAAAATATGCAGTTCCTCTAACTGGTTATTGTAAAAGTAAAGTAAAGTTTGTCCCACTATACACCATGTAGGCGTTTGGGGTGAGTGGAGGTATAGCTCCTCTCTTCCTTGACCTCGGCACTAGATGGGGGTGAGTGGTCAGCATCACGCCCCGGCCGGCTTTACCCCCGGGAAAGGACCCCGGTACCCATTGTAGAGGAGGCTGGGTGGGCCCCAGAGCTGGTCTGGACGCAGAGGCTAGAGGAAAAATCCTCTGCCCCCGTCGGAACTGGTTATTGTACTCCCCCTTATTCAGTTATACAGTTTCTGCTTCAATGTATCTATGAAGATTACAACAACAAAAAACTTGTTTATGTGCTTTAGTTCATTGGAAGTAATGAATATGAGGTCCCTATTTCAGTAACAGTTTGGAATATGCCATTTAAAATCATTCACTGAGATGCTAGCACGTCTCAGACGACAAATGCTCAAGTGTTCTGAACAAGGCATTAAAAGCATTTAAGAATGTCTCTTTCTGCAATGTCCACTTCATGCGTCAACTGTTAAAAGAATATGCAGATAATTCCGGCATCACAATTTCTTCCCATTGTTCTACTTAATAATAAATAACATTTCAAGTATGAATTACAATACATAATGTAATAGGATAAGATGGGCGGGGCATGTAGTATCCATAGAAGAAATATATACATACAGAATTTAAGTTAGAAAACCTGAATGGACGAGACCACTTGGCACAGATGAGGGCTGATCTTAAATAAATCAGTGGACTGAACAGGACAGGGTCCAGTGATGAGCCCTTGTGAACACGGAAATGAATCTTTTGATTCCATAAAAGGTAAGGAGCTTTTCTGACTAGCTGAGCAAATATTAGCTCCATGGACTTACTTACATGGTATAGTCCCAACAGAACAGCTGCCTGTAACCCAAAACCACACCCCATCTCTCAAAAAATTAAATAACATCACTTTATTTTGTTACTTCCAACACTATTTTGGAATGAATGACATTGGTTTCCTAACAAAGATCTAGAATGGGGATGGGAGAGAAATATCAGAATGTAAAAAAAAAGAATAAGCTACTGCATGTCAGAGGATGGCCTACATAATATTTCAAATATTTAATTCACAGTTCAAGTCTTCAGAACTTGAATGCAGTAGCAGAAGCAGGTATACAAATATACTAGTTTCAAAGTGAAATATAAGCTGTCCCTTCTAAACGAGGGCCAAAGTCCACAGGAATAAGCACTATGAGCCATTATGCATCATTAAAGCCTCATTACATAATCTCCATCTCTGAAAACAACAAATAATACACAACCTTTGATTATAATAAGCTCTGTCATTAACATTGCTGTTAGCTGCCATTGTAAAATTTATGGTAATTTACAATTCTTGTGTTAGTAGTTCATAGCTCATATGCATGTGGGCGGATGCACACGCACACACACACTTTCCACAAGGTGGCCACAACATAAAACATCATCATCTAGAAACACAAATTCATGAGAAGCATTCAGTCCTGTTCATTTTATTTCTGAAAGCAGAAGTAACCATTGCTCTGTTTTGTTACTTGAATTAATGCCCTCATTTATTATTTTCCCTTTCACTATTGATGGATGCAGCAAGTACCTCTAAAATGCTGGTAAACTTCTATCAGATTCCACAGTGCAACGACTGGAATGACAACCTGAAATCTCTCTTAGACATTATACAGATAACTGTGCCAGTACATTTTCCTCCACCCCAATTATTCCTGATAGAGCATACATCCACATCTTTGGCACAGTTGTTCTGTCCCAGCCTACAGAACACTGTCTTATGACCAGATTTAAAATCTTACATCAAAATTAAACTTAACATCTCATTTAACAAACCTGATTGAAACATTTTTTAAAACCATGATTAACAATAAGAAGCACAATAAATGCTCCTTAACACAACAATCAGCTACAATAAAGGTAATCAAATGCACAGTAAAAATAAAGATACTTTTATCCTGTTCGATGCTCCAGTACTTACATTCTTTACACACTTGAATATTTTTGTATCTGCTAATCTAACAGCTATTATCAAAAAACAAAATTCACAATACCAGCGAATCTGATACAGAGACCCAAAAGTTAGAACATTTGTTGTGGTTATTTTATTATAAAAAATCCCTTCCAGAAGTGTGGCCACCCTGTCTCAAGTTTCCAACTGAGTCAAATGTAACAAATACTAACTATATATCAACAGACATCAGTGCAAAGTTATACAAAATTAGATCGATGGTATAGTGCATACAGGCATAAAAATCCAAAGGGAGTGAAAACAGGCCCCTGTGAATGTCTCAAGGTGGCAGCCCTCACTAGTCAACTGTAGAGAACTTTCAGACCAACAACAGTAATTAACAATATTAAATTCTATTAAAATCCATCCATTAGCACAGACAGTGAAATCACTAAGAAACATGGACTGCTCCTGCAACTCTCAATGCTAGATCAGCCTGCTCAGTTTTGAGGCACTCACAAACACCACTACTTTAGCTATGAAAGTTTTGTTAAATGTATCATCCAAATTCATATTTGGACAAAACACACTACTTTACATAAATATCACAATGAACTTCCAAAATATTTCATGCCCATCAAACAGTAAACTGTTTTCAAGCAGAAGTTGGAAGGAATAACAAAATATTTCATGTGTATATAGTTCATAAAAAAATCCCATGAAGATGGTTGACCTCTGGGTTCTTGCACCATGTAGTCTGGTAGTAGTTCATGTTTCAGAGGCGCTTGGTGCATCCATCATCAGGGTGATATCACTGAAATGTCAGGAGACTTCAGCCAGACTACATGTGTAACAATCCAGAAGACAGCCACCTAAACACTCACTGCCATGAGAACCTGGTATCTCAAAAAAATCCATTTTTTTAGAAAATCATAAAATGGCTATCTTATCAGGTTCAGTGCTAAGCTGCCTCCATCATGAGCATCACTCATCTTTGTACATACTACTGTGAGAACTTCACATCCTACTTTGAGAACATCTAAATTAATAAAACTGGACTCCAAGGACATGTCTAATCTTTACTTCATGATTAGCATGCAGTTCACCAACTTCTTGTTCCATGAACTTGTTTTCAACTCGAATAACTTTATATACTTTCCCAAATAAATTTTCCTTCAGATCCTTATGACCTGCCTCTTATGTTACCATTTAACATCTCACTTCTCCTTCTACGTAGTGCAGGGGTTCTCAAACTTTTATGGCCTGGGTTACATTTATCATTTCTTACTGCCTCATGGACTGATGGGTTATAAAAGATGACAATTTACTGAAAATTCATGGCAATTTATTAAAACTTATGCTCACTATCAAAAATAGGTTCATATATATTTTCTCTTACAAATTCGTTAATTTCAACTTTATTCAAAATTAAATATTTAACTCAGGTGATAATTTTTTTTTTTCGTTTTACAGTGTTACAATATTACAAGAATGTATGTGGGCCACACAAAACACATCAGTCAGCCATAGATTGAGAACCTCTGATTTAATTAAAGTAGTACGAAACTGGAAAAATGTATGCATTTTTATACCAAAGTTGGTCATTCATTGGACATAGCCAAATTAGCTACAATAACTTAAACTTAAAAGTATGCAATAACATAAAAAAACAAACAACATAATATTGCATCATCAGACTTAGGGATATAAGAGTATTTTTGAGAAATTTGTAATATTTCATTTTTTCATTGCAACAGTGTTTCATATTCTCTTACAACTGGCTACACTGAATCCAAATCAGTCTGCCCTCAACACCACACATCAATAAAATTCAGGACACAATTATCTGGGTGTTGCACTCTGCCAAAATAGTAAAAATTACCTATTTTGGAAGAAATGTGATAACGGTTACCATTCTGACATAGTCCAACACCCAGAAGACTCCAAAGTGAATACAGACTGCAGTAAAAATCTCACAAGAAGAAACATTATGTACAAAATATTTATGCTACTAGAGCAATTGAAAATTAATGTACAACACATCACACAACATGGATTTTTGCTGTCAGAGATGTCTCCTGTCCAGCAGTATGGACATTCATTTGTAACCACTGTAATTCACAATAACACAGCATGGAAATACTTACAAGACTAGCAATTACATACATTTTTAAGACAATCGTGAAATCTATATTTAAAAAAACCTTTCAGAAACTGTATATTCCTGAAAATGCATATTCAGGGGAACATTTAAATTGTTTATTAGCAGCTGTGCACACCTTTCTGACATTCACCACACATAGCAAATGAAGCAATTTTAAATATGTCACTATATTTTTGCAGCAGTAACTGTTTATAGGTTCCAAAGTTCGGAATCATTAATTTGATTTATTTATGGTTTATTTAACAACATTGTCAGTAGCTTAGACTATGCAGTGCCAGATGACAAAATAATCAGTAAACAGTGAAATGTAAAAGGACATAAAAGGAAGCATTTGCCTAATCAACTAAAGAAACCCACAAAAACTTCAGACAGAATAACTGTCTCCACACCGAGTAAGAAAGGAAATGGCCATGGCATAATTTAAAGTACTATCCTGAAATCTGCCTAAACGGTCAGTCAGGATAGTCAATCTCCAACCAAGATTTTGACTTGGAACCTCCTAAATATGAAGAAGTCCTGACCACTTGGCCGTGATGTTAACTACTGTTATGCACACTGTTTTGTCATTACATTCATGGTACCTGTGACACAAAAGCCCATAGTGGATCAAGGTTATTTCATTTTCAAAATTCTTTTCTCATGATGAGCAATACTGTCAATTGATACAGCTTCGCTAAATAACCACAAAATTTACTAGATGGAGATCACATCTGGATGAGAGTTTTCTTGTGACTCTACAGAGTGTTTGCTTGGAGTAGTTTTCACAAAAGAGGACAACAATATCAGCCAATGGTACAAAATGTTTACCCTTCTGGTGTCGTAACTTGAAATAACATCAAACTGACAAATATTTTGGACTATTCCCATTATCCTATTTTTTGATTAAAACATATTTCAAAAGCTGGGTTTGTTTCTGTCATCAGGTAAAAGTATAAAATCTACTATATTGGGTCAATTAATCTCTCCTACAGACCATTGTATATTTTGTCAATACTTCTCTGTGGTTGTAACACCATGGGCACTTGTAGGTATATATCATTGTTCCTTCTCTCATTTAATTTTTTGCCTGTCTTCTCAGTTTTAAATTTAAGATTCTCTTATACATTTGCAGACACTGGCAATGTAAACCCTGTTATTTCTGAATTGTTTTCTGTTCCTATAAATGACATTCCCTCTAAAACAATTTATTCATTTCACCTAAGTACATCTTTCACAAATACTACGATAAAATATGTGTATACTGTAATTATACTTTTAAAATATCAAAAAATGTATACTGATACTTCAAGCCTGCCACCACAGAAACATCAATGCTTTGGACACATTTCAACAACAGTATGCAGTTATTCAACCAACTTCTGTTGCCATAAAAAGCTACACACAGAACAGAAAACTGATTTATGACAGTATATTATGGTTAAGTAAATTTCACAACAGTAAGCCATACTGTCAAAAGCAAAAGCAGAAGTCAGATTCCAGAAAACAGATTTTATTCAGCAACCATGGTAGTTGGTAGGCTTGTTTTTATCACAAGAATCTTCACCATTAAGTATAAATTAATGACAATGCTTTTTTTTTGTCTACTTTACAGTTATTTTTATTTGTTTCTGCCCCAAGCTTCAAACCTTGTCCTCTGCTATATGAGTTATTCTCAACACTGTAATCCTGGCCTGTTTCAAAGAAGGTGTATTAGACAAAACACCGAAGTCAAAAGACACAGGACTCACTAAATATGTCTTGTGTGGATACAACAGTCTGAAAATAGAACAATGGGATAAATCTTCTTGAATTTCTCACTACTTTACAAAGCCAGAACATTTCTTGACCTTCTAATGTCTGCATGCCACTGGACATTGTCTTATCCCTTTGGATACCAGCAACCATTTCTCTGCTATCTACTCCTAGCCTTAAATGCTAATTAGCAAAACAAAAACAGTGGTAGTTACAAGAATGGCATTAATGTTTTATATAATCCCTGATGATGGCATGTGGGTGCAGAGGGGTTAAACTGCCATTGGAGTATGTTTGAATGCTGCAGATGTTTCTACTGGAATGTCCTCAGACAGCCATGGTTGCACATCATGTTAATACTCCCGATACAGCTGTAACTGTCGCCCACACAGCCAGCAAAGTCACAGTTCATCCATACGTGACCGGACGGCCATTTCCACTACCTCCAGGTTTGGGTAGTCAAGCTCCTTTATTAGACACAGTACAGCTGACAGGATGTTGGAACTCTGAAATGTGCATAACAGAGACTTCTCTACCTGACAGTTAAGATCCAAATTAAAAAAGTAAGGTAATTTTAACTTGAACATAGGTTATGCAAATGCAATGTCACATTAAACTTAAAGTTCAGTGTGTATATTCTCTAAACATGGAAAATCTTGTTTATTAGTGCTCAAAGTAATGTTGTTACAACATATATGGTCAAATGCTGATGTAACAAATATCAAAATAATGAAAATTGTTATTTGTATAAAATAATCTAAACACCCATTTACCTAAAATATTTAAGAGAGAAAACTAAATATTAAAATCTTTCAGTTTAAACCCTCAGTGCCATAAGCAGTACTCACAATACCCCAGGCCCATGCATCATGTATTGACATTCCACACAATCAGTAAGCTGATAACTCTGCTAACTTTGATGTCCTCAGCATGATTAATTTTTATGACATTTGGTATCATCTGAAGATGAAAATCTGAACTTCATTTTCTATTTTTCATAATAGCGAGTCTTGGTATGAAAAAGTAAAGCTCCTGTAATTCATCCACTAAAAAACATTTCTATTCTGTTTCCCAGTGCTGTATTACATGACTGACTGGTGATTTTGTCTTTTAGTAACTTAAGCAAGTGAATGGAATCAAGTCAATCTGTCAGAACTGAAATCAGTCCTTATGTATGCATATGGATGATGCACACAATTGAGATAAGTTGATTTTGCAACACTGTGCAGACACACATGCAGATGGGTGTTTAAAAAAAACTCACCCTAGTGATAGGTCTGCGAGGGTACAGAGGCCTAGAATTTGAAAGTCCTTTATCCGAAGTACTGACTCGCTGCTTGGGATCTTCTTCCTGTGGGTTTAACAATCACATTAATTGTGATTCATCAGTATCAGAAATCCACATAGATTTTGAGCTCACAACTCACCCCCCGCCCGCTCCGCCCCCCACACTGGCTGCTGTTTGCACTCCCATCACTGCTACTGTCACAAGCTGCCTGGCCTCCATGACAACAGTGCCCACTGCTAGTTCGGTGCAGTTCTTCACCATTTGGAGCCAAATCCTGTCAGACGGATCAGTGTCTACTTGTATTCCAACAACTCAATTTCCAGATAAACCAAAGAGGAAAGAATTTGTCACTAACTGACACCAAGAAACCACTGCTACCAACAAGATTAGACTGAGAAGATCAGTTCTTACACATGCTTTAGACAAAAGTTTTGGTAAATCCTAAAATCCTTTCTCAGTTCAGTGTTTAATTTATGGGAGAGTTGCTAGAGTATTTCTTCACTTCCTGCACAATCAAGAACCAGAAATTTCAACCAACAGCAACATCAGTTTGGTCCCATTTCTGTACTGCATAAAACAATATCTAAACCAATGTTTATACTGACAACCAGAAGGATGAACATATACAGCATACCCAACTGTTAACCACATAAGAGCCAAGTTTCTCTTCTGCATAATTTAAATATTAGCCTTGAACACGGTGTTTAAACTATACTCTTCGCACATGCATTTTGATTCTACTTGTATGTACTGGAAATACAAGCAGGAGTACAATCATGATGATATAACTTTTTAAAATAAGTTGCCCTATATGTATTCCATGCACCACATTATCAATGTTACTGCTGACCTTCATCAGAGGCATGCTGTTTGACATGGCCATGGGGCAGCTGATCTCATCCTTAATACTTTCCGATGGTGACGCTTCTTCTGGGTGACTGTTAGTGGAGGTAGGGGAGCGCTACATACAACCAAGGTTAGTGAAAGCAAGCTTACACAAGATTAACAAGACAAGACAATCTGAAGTTATCATGGTAAATAAATGCATATCGAATAAAACTCTAGACATTTCAGGCAGAACGTCCACTTTCTTCATCAAAGGCTGTCCACTGCTTTTGCTTTTGACAGGTAAATATGTTTACATATCAAAAACCTAGTCACTCTGATCAGTATTTGATGATAAAAATAAAGACAGTCACTGAAACAGAGTTTTTATTCCACTTCTATGCAGCCTATCATACATTAAGGCTTCACTTTATTTATTGACTTCACACTTATTTCATTCTTGTACACATCGCTCACTCTGCACAACACGGGTGTAGTTCAGCCTCTGAATGCCATTAACCCAAAATTGATTTTAATTAGGAATTGAGGTTTTCACAGCAGTATGCATAAAGATGGCTGTCTTCTGGGTTGTAGCACTGTATAATCTGGTAGACGTTTACCCACATGTCATCATCCATTATCAGGGTGATCTCATCGCCCTGATGATAGAGGCAGCAAGGGCTTCGGAAATGTTGTTAAACCTACTATACTACACGACACTACAACCCTGAAGATAGCCATCAATTTGTTACCTGCCACTTGAATGAAGCTGCATGGGCAAGCATGGTGTCATTTACAGGTCTTTGAATGGTTAAAAAACATACACACACACATACATACATCTTTATTACATTCCATGGATCCATAAGTTAGTCAGATGACAATAGGATGTAGAATAAGTCATAATAATACAATACATGTTATACAAATACAAGTCATACTATTATATAAATATCACAAAATACAATTATGATGATGGTATATCACTGCAATGACAAACTTCTTGCATATTATCCATCATTCTAAATAAAAACTATGTTTCAGAGACTGAAATATGTCACTGTCAATGGGTGTAATCTACTCTGTTCAGCCCAATAAATAAAAGAGTCAGATAACGACTACCTCTATCAACTGGGCTCAACAGAATAGGTTCCACCTAGTTAAGGGGATACATTCCAATCTCCAAACTATAGTTTTATAATTAGCATTAGAATAATGGGTAATATCCAAAAAGTTTGTCATTGTAATGATATGAAGTGTTTGTTACAATACATTCTGTAACTTTAATCTTAAACATTTTTAGATGGAGGTTTCAAGCATAATTTCTAGGCTTTTTAGTAAATCAGCATTCCAAAATAATTTACATGCAATTAGGAGAGAATGTCTCATTATAATAAATAGACTGGAGTTATACTCACTTCATATGGAGAACTTTGCTGCTGAGAATATCTGCAAAAAAATACACAAACATTCATACACGACATGAAATGACAGCATATGGTTTTCTTTTAATTCATACATTTTCACTCTCACCCTGAGAAAAGAACACAGATTCATATGTTTAAGAACACGATGCTAAGGAATATGTTTGGGACAAAGGCGAGGTAACAGGACACTAGACAAAACTGCATAATAAGGAACAGTCCAAATTATGATCAGTATTCTTCATAACTATTAGTAGAGTAATTAAATCAATATAACTGAAAAGGCAGAGCATATAGCACAAATAGGAGAGATGAGAAATAAATAAACAATTTTTGTAGAAAACCTGATGGGAAAAAACAGCTCAGCAGGAGTAGATGGAACATAAAATTAAACTGGCCCTAGAGGAAATAAGTTGTGATCACATGGACTGGATTCATGTGGCTCAGGACAGAGACCACTGGCTTGCTGTTGTAAACACATCAATGAACTGGATCAGGCCCCAGGCTATTTACATTTGTCTATTTCTGATGTGGATAACTGGTTATGTATTTTCACTTTATTTCATTCATATGAGAAAATGTTCAAGATCTGCTGCAGTTCCTCTCTTTACTGAGATGTAAACAAGACCCAACCGCTTCACACCTTCCACTTTTTCTGGTTTTAGTTATTCATGTTAATTGCATCATCAACTCACTTCCTGTAATTTCACACAATGCAGTATAACTCTTGTTTCACCTAATGCATAGTGAACTTTTCAGTATGCCTTTAGGTTTTCACGGCGGTGAGTCTGAAGATGGCGGTCTTGTGGGTTGTTGCACCGTGTAGTCTGGCAGAAGTTTACCAACGGTTCAGAGATCCTTGCTGCCTCCACCAGGGTGACCTGATGATGGAGGCAGCAAGGACCTCTGAAATATTGGTAAACTTCTACCAGCCTACATGGTGCAACAACCCACAAGACCGCCATCTTCAACTTTTCAGTAGGATACTGGATATAGTAAACAGAATAAGTACTGTTACACTTCAATCCATGATATTAATCACAAGTACTCACGTGGGAATATATGCCCCATAATTAGCATTGCATCTGTCTGTCTCATAAGATGTGTGATATTCATCATCATGTATCAAGGCTGAGTGTCGCCGTACATCTGTTGTCTCTGACTCCCGTTCACCAGTTCCCTGTCGTCTTGGGGGACTTGTCTGTAGACATCATAAAACATGCCTTATCATACTCATGTCAAAGTACAGCTGTTTGTATTCATAATGGCACAGATATCAGATTCTTTATGTTCATAATCTGCCTGTGGAGATGACTTTTAAAAACGAAACAGTTCAGCACTATAAACTAAAAATCTGCAAAAGGACCCTATGCTCAGCCCATTCAATTCAAACTTCACATGCCAAAACATAATCCCATTTTAATATATAATATCCTACCAATATCTCAGTTTTCTGTGTACCCAGAAAAACTCCACACATGTTTACACACACCACCTATAACTCCTTCAATCAACAAGGTTATCAGTATTGAGGTACTAATACATTTTGAAAATATTAATCCTCTGGTATAGGTCTTCTTTGATCAATCTACTAAAAAACGCACATGCCATCTAAACAGAAGTCATGCCATGGTGACAAACCTACATAACAGAGCTGTAACTAATACTAACAGGTAACAGCACTCAAAGATATGGTACCATTACAGTTCCTCCAACTCACATTTCCACAACCATTTAGACAAAGAATCATTTCAAATATTATCATCCTCCTAAGGCTTTCAAGTAGTCAGTTTACTATAAAGTTTCCAAATGGAAATAATGTGCACGAAATATAGGTTATAACAAAATTTATGTAACTCATCTTTCAATGTATCTCTTTACAGCCTATTTTCTTTGTGTATGTTTCACTGACAACTTCTGACTCAACTGTTAAGCTTCAACATCTCTGAACCTAAAAATATGTGGCATAATAAGTACTTGTAAATATAACTCAACAAAATAATATTAAAATCCATTTTAAACATTTTGTAAACGTATTAAGTGAACATGGCTGGCCCAGGATTAAATAATGAGCTGCTAAGGATACAGCAATAAACCTTGAAATTTCATAACAGCTGAGAAAATGTGGTCAGTTATGGTCAGAAGACAATTGAAGGCCACAGACTCCCCCAAAATCACTGGCAGAAAAGGAATGCACATACATATTTCAAACAATATTTCCTGCCAAGTGCCACAACTAAGCGCAAGATTAAGCTACAAAGCAAACGTCACAAACACAATTCAGATCACTTCATGCAGAACAGCAGAGATGGCATACTGTAAAATCTACAGTACTCCATGTTATTTTGCAAACATTTCTTCATTTTCACTTTAAATTTCTTTCATTTACAAATAATTTTCTGCCCTGCCCATTAAAAAAATGGAAGGGCCCCCCCTATCTATGATTGCACCCCAAGTGCTACTAAAGGAAAGAAAAACATTATATATGTCCTCTTTGGTTTCTCAAACCTCATTAAGGAGTTGATTTTAAATCAAGATGAGCAACGTGATTATAAATATTAATGTTCAAAGAGCTGGCTTTAGGTAACCTTCATTTAAAAGAAATTGACCTTTATTTATATGGATGTTTCAGATTATGACCATGATAGACACACACAGACATAAACACAGAGGGAAAAGAGCAAAGTGAACTGAGCGGATGGTCCAGTCTTGCAAAGACCATCACTGTACATTTCTCAAACACAGCAACATGAACACAAGTCACAATAACAGACAGGTATGTAGCACACGGCTGTGATGCAAAGATCATCATGCCACAAGCAACTCAGGGTGTACAGTTTGAGAATGTGTTTATTCTAAAAAGTATTATAAATAGTTAGTTGTGTAATGCCAGTCTGAAGTAAAAGGATTTCAGTAACATACTACTTCCATAACAAAATGATGTATAAAATAAAAATGCAAGACATCAAGAACTCACATCCACCTTGACACAAACATAAAATAGGTTGGTTGAAGTCTTAATTGATGCAGAGGAGAACATGCTGCATGCACCAACTGAAAACAAATTAAAATATAATTCACCTGCCCAACACTAGGTATCCTTGCTGTATGCTCCACCTCCTCATACTCTCTGTAGTACACTTGAGGTATGTATTCCTGCAAAAACATCACTTGATACGTTTATATGAGTGCTAAATCAGTGCTTCTTTGCTGCTTGTTTAACAGACACCTTGGCTAAACATACCTCATGCTGTGTGGGGCTGTGGGATGGACTGCTGGAACCTGATCCCCAGTGACGATCTGTTGCAGGAGATACATCCTGAATGTCCTCTGGGTGCACTAACTCTCGACCTTTCCTCAGGGCATCCTGTACCTCTTCTGGCTGTACTGCAATGTTGTCCAATTTCTGGAGATTCGGTAGAGTCCGCAATACAGTCAGTCGATATCTATAGAGAACCATGTAACTTAACTGACCAGAAAACAAGTACTTATAAAGATTTCTGTCTTCTGGGTTGTTGCGCTGTGTAGTCTGGTCGATGTTTACCAACGTCATAACAGAGGCAGTATGATCTCTGAAACGTTGGTAAACATCGACCAGACTACACAGCGCAACAACCCAGAAGACAGAAATTTTCATACTCATCGCCCTGATGACGGAGGCAGTATGACCTCTGAAACGTTGGTTAACATCGACCAGACTACACAGCGCAACAACCCAGAAGACAAAAAATCTTCATACTCACCGCTGTGAAAACCTCAAATCTTGCAAGTACTTATAAATCAAATGGTGAAGTTGTATACTGCAAGCACACACAAACAGAGTGGTTCATTCAACATGCACAGCATTTTGTGAGATTTCAGGTTCTCGTAGGAGAAAGTATGACAATAACTGTCTTCTGGGATGCTGCACAGTACGGTCTTGTAGAAGTTTAACCATGTTTCACAGGTGTTAGCTGCCTCCATCAACTCATCGCCCAGATGATGGAGGCAGCAAATACCTCTGAAATTCTTGCAAAATTCAGTCAGTATACAGAAAAACTCCATGTACTTTGGATGTTTTACAGATCAAAATCTGAAATAATATACCAGAAACCACAAAAGGTAAGAATATTTTACATCAGTGGCAAATGTACATGGTCACTGAAAGACAATATTTTTGTCAGCTATTGTAATATTAGGTAACTAAAGTAGTTTCACTCAGAATGCTATTCTTTTAGCATGGATAGAACCTCCAATTAGATCATGCTATACGTATGTAATTAAGCAGAGAACCCTCATATGGCCTCGAATAACAGGTAACAAAACTGGAAAGGAAGGAACAAAATGATCTGTACAATAATTTATTTTCCGTCTATACACAAACTTAAAATAATGTTGTTTAAAATTACTTAAAATTATAACATTCTCAGTAGATACTGTATCTTGTTACATTTTGTATTGACGACATGTTTCGATGTGTATTACATCATCATCAGGTCTATCAATTTTAAAAACTGTTGCACATCTTGCGTTGCGTATATATATAAAAAAAAATGATCTGTGTATGTACACATGTGAGTACATCTGTATGCAACCAGTCAAGGTGTTTAAATATACAATGAAAATTACAAAGCTATTCCATCTTATAAACCAAAGCTGAAATAACAGATTTCATTTCATCATTGCCTTTTTTGCATGCTGAAAGAAATGAAAATCATACATCAGTCATGTGCACAAAAGTGTCTAGAACTGCAAGTATTTTGAGTGTTTAAATAAACACAGGGACAAACCTGTCTTTACCCTCTTTAAAGCCACTTACTGATCTGTATCAGCACATGGGTTCTCCTCGAGCCACAAGCACTTGAGTCGGGGCAAATCTTGTAGATATAAGATCTGGTTCAACTCCCGAATGTTGTTCTTGCGTACATACAGCTCCTGCAGATTGCGACAGAACTGGAAATCTGATAGGGTTCCAATCTTGTTCACGCTGGAACAAATAAAGTACTGCAGCAGGCCATAATCATCACTTCCACTTGGAATAAGTAAATTAAACAGTTCATGAAATCTATAAGCAAGAATATGAAAGGAATGGTAGGCTTCTAGTTATAAGAAAAAAGTCTGCAGAACAAAAGAATGGCGCCTTAGGGATAGTTTTTTACCAGGCCATGGTCTACAAAAAACACAGTATTAGATGACCAGTCTTCTGTACAGAGGACTCAAGTCAATAAATAAACATAGGAATGAGTATCAAAGGAACTTGACTGGACCTTAATGAAACTATATATTTATTTTCACAGTCTATACACAAACGTTGTAATTAAATGATGTTGTTAAAATTATATAATATTAAAACATTATGTTGTATAAAATATTATATTTTGGCGCTTTTTATCGTAAATACGATTTTACATTATTTAACGCTTTTTTTACGACATGTTTCGATGGATAAGACCTCATCTTCAGGTTTATAATTTTAACAACATCATTTAATTACAACGTTTGTGTATAGACTGTGAAAATAAATATATATTTAATCAACACAAACATGACGCATTTAAGCTACAAATTAATGAAACTAGTTGTGAGGATGCAAACTGTACTGAAATGGTTCAGAAAACAGCCAGAGCAGGAAATGAAATCTGTGTTGTACCCCACAAACTGCAGAATCCATCATTCTCCAGCTGCTACACCTATAAATTGGCACAAATGAAAGATGATAGCATAACACATAATTTACCAGTGACTTGTTGCTCTGGTAATACTTACAGTTCTATTTTTGCATTAAGAATCTTTGAGGCCAAAGGGCTGACTATGATACCTGGCTATCTTGTATATGAAGTTAAAATTGTGGGTACTTTTATTTCTGTTTGCGTATGTCTAGAGAACGGATAAACCGATTTGCACCAAACTTGGCATGCTAATTCCAAGAGAACATAGAGCGGTCATAACTACAAAAAAAATGTCCCGACTTCATTTTTCGATGAGGACGCTTCCTGCAGCTCAGAAACTAAACCCAATAGAAGAACGTTTCGGAGAGAAGATTATATAAACAAATAGCACAACCCCGGAAAACTGTCCTGGGTTTGATTCCCGATGAGGATGATTTCTATTGCTCATATTGCACGATAGAACGACGCCAGGTCAAAATTTATTCGTTTCGGCAAGGAGATTACAGGAATAAAGGCCACGACACAAAAAACTGTGCTGGGTTCGAGTCCTGATAAGAATGTTTTCTGTTGTACGGAAACTAAGGACGAAAGAACACTGGCGTCATGGCAAAATTTGCTCATTTCGGCGCAAAGATTACATGACTTAAGGTCACAAACCCGAAAAATGTCACGGATTCGAGTCCCGGTGAAGATGTTCGTCGCTTGTAGCTCCCTAAAACAGAGCTCGATTTCACAGAAAACCCACACTGAACAAATAGATGCAGTCCGTAAGCCAAGACGTGGTCAGTCAGTACAAAGGACAGTAAAACTACAGTTGGGCAATTTCAAACTTAACAAGGGCTGTACAAAATATGCACATTGCGTGCGGATTACGGAAATAATTTTACAATTTGCAGACACGGTCGACAACTTATGGCTACAGAGTAGGCAGTGGACTGCAGATGAACGACCCCAGCTAGAACTTCATAGTATTGATGTTCGTGGTAAGCCTAGAGCTCAAAGCTATTTTTGTAGCACATTTAATTAAAGAAGAGTTGGCTCGAATTAACTGCACTGAGTGGCGTCCGTCTTGACAAACTGATAGTCGCTCAATTAGTCAAGGGATTCATCACCGCTTACGGAACCACAAGGCTTATTATTGCGTTTGCAAGAGAAAGACACTGCCCCTATCCTAAGCCACTTGAATCCAGTCCACCCCATATATAATATATTCTAAGACAGTCCACAATCTCCCAATTTACGCCTAAATCTTAAAAACGGTCGCATGGACAATCGCCCTGATGATGGACGCAGTAAGCGTCTCTAAACTTCTACCACACCACACGGAGCTAAAACCCAGAACACAGACACCTCCTGTGGAGAAAACATTTATACAAAAGTTTCAGGCCTTAAAATAACAAATGAATGTCGCGGTCTAGTGGTTAGCTCTACTGTTTCGTATTCAGTCACTCCCGTGTTCAAATCTCAGCCCAGGGACAAGCCATATAAGGTCCTTTGCGGTTTTCCTGAGTCCCCATACACAAGAAAAGGGAGACAACAGAAATTTAGACCATGTCCGCATCCTTTCCAATTCACCTCATTCTACCATCAGATGATATAACTTACAATCCTGCCAACTGATGCGTTATTAAATAATAAACAAAGAATATATAAAATAACCTTTGTATCATAAAAAGATTTTATTCAAATGCCACAAAATCAATTTGAGTGCAGAAAAAGGATATATAATCACTAAAAGCGACTTCCCAGAGGCCATTTATATTCTCTCTTACTTATGTTTGTGTACCGTTTGTCCAATGTTTAGAGTGGCCAACATGGCACTATTACGACGCTAATCTATACGTTTTTTTAAATAACGCTTTCTTTAAATGTCATGTTAGAGCACAATTGTGTAACAAGTTGGCAATACTGACGCCTTGTGGGTTTGTCTCTCAAGAGACGAATTCACGTGGGCAAACATCTTGCCGCGTGACCATGTTAGGACGGATCAAGTCCGGGTGTGGGCCCACAACAGCAACAGATCGTGGTGATCACAACATCGCAATGATGTGACGACAGGACGCAGGAGGGGATACCACTTTCTCACGGCCCTTCCTTCCAGCAAACACTGGAATAGGACTGAGACATGCCACGACTCCTTCTTCCAACATTTCATCCCATTCACCATACATAATCAGCCCAACGTCCCCCAACCGATACTACGTAATCTGGCATGGTTAACAAAATTAACCAAATTAAAATCTCTGTTTCCTTCAGTTTCTCACGCAAATTCAGTATATCGTGGTACTGCTATCCAGACATTCATTCCGAAGAACCAAAGCAGCAACGAAAACTTTTCGCGGTTATTTCAGTTCCTTTGCCGAAATCACAGAAATGAAACTCAAAAAAATGTTACAACAGTTAATTCATACACAACTGCAAAATGGTTTCAAAACTGCCAGAGTAAATCATTCACTACGGGATTTATTATACAGCTGACATAATCCCAACATGAAGACATCAGATTTCGCCCACCGTCGCGATGCTTCGTATACCACAGGTTTCCGTTTCGAATCCCGGTAGCAAGATTTCAGAGTAAATGGCTTTTTTAAACTCCTGCAGTAAAAATACGGAGACAATATCGCTCCCAGTTTTGACAGTACCTTCCTTCGAGAAGACAAAACCTCTCTGAAGATCTTCCGATTTGTTTGAAACGGGAATGAGACTGATAAACGTGGTTAGGCCTACATTCACACACAACCACTGGTGGAACCGAAGCCCACAGCGTAGAGACGTGCACTCTATAATAACCGCGTTCTTCACCGCATGACACACTGTACCAAATTTGGAACTGGGGCCTGGAACACTCAAGTTTTAGGCGCGGTCTGTAGGAAGTCTCGTGACTTCTTGGCGAGCCGCCCACTTGTTTATCCGGGCCCACATACTCACACTGACAACCAACAGTTCTCCATTCATGGCATTTCTGTCATGCTTTCCGCTAAATGGGTAGTGGGGCATCAGACATCTTTATTTACTCTCCAAAACACGCTAAATGCCAAACTTATCCCGGAAATACCAATTATAATAAAAACCGGATGTGGCATGCACGAGGTAAAACTGAAAATTTAGACTGTTTTTAAGGCTTTCGGCGATCAGTACTCTACTGGACTTTGTCCTTCGTCTAAATAACATAAAAAACATTTCGCAAGCTGAATTCTACTTCCGTCAGGGGGGGAGGAGAGAAAAATCTGTTTGGTCCCAAGGTCCAGGTTCGAGGCTAGCTCAATCAATTTTCTTCTTTTTCTCAACTTCCGAAACGCTATAGTTTTATAATATTTATACGACGGACAAAAGTAAAAAAGAACAATTTAAAACAATGCAATTTTTATTAAGAAACGTCTTGGTAGGAAGTTTATCAAATCTAAAACTTCTTGACGATGGTGAAGAGTCATTTGAATAAAAATTTCCTTGGATATTATCCATCGTCTAGTAAAATATAAAATATAAAAACGTAAAACGACGTTTCGGAGATGGGACTCTTATCTCCGTCTTCAGGTATATTTTACTAGACGATGGATAATATCCAAGGAAATTTTTATTCAACTGGAAGGAAGTTGTTTGGACTACATATACAGCCCACTAACTAGCTTAATTAAAAAACATCTCTTAAGAAACTAGTAGTTGCTCAGGTAATCAACAAATTCCTCATCGTTTAAGAAGTCAGAAGTTTCATTAATTTAACCCATCCTGAATCCATCTCATAACTTACCACTCTCAGATCCATTTTAATATTATCCTGCAATCTGTGCCTGGATCTCCAAACGGGCCTCTATCCTTCAGGCTGTCGACCAACAATGTCTACACTTCTCATTCCCCATGACCTGGCCTTCTCATAATCCTCAATTTTATTACCCTAATTATTTGGTGAATAAAAAATATGAGCCCCCTCGTTACGTAATTTTCTCCAGTCTCCTGCACGTCCCTCCGTCTCGTGCCCAAATTTTCCTCAACACCGTGTTCCAAAAAAACATTTATCTTTCAGATCCGAGACGCAGACCATTTCTTTCCGACATAAAAAAGATCGATAAAATTATCTCGCATGTGAATAACAGCGAGATGAGGTACGTATCTCCGCTCTGTTGCGTCCGGCAATTGTTTGCACAGGTCAATGCCCAGCTCGGTCTAACACAACTATGCATAACAAAACAAAATTCAACAATAAATGTGGGCAACTTTCTACACATGGTACGGAAAAAAGCAGCAAGGAACAGAGCGCTTACTTATCGTCACTTTTCCTGGCAGATAATTACTGTTCACGTTCCTATTGTTACCACAGAAACGCACGCATTCGTTACACTTTGCGCTCTGCAGTGGCCACGTGTCACCCTGAACAGAACATTTTAATACTAACAGAGTGCGAGGACATTCGGAAAATACTTGCATATCATACTAATTTTTATTGCCCGAAAGCTCATCACAGATCTGATCAAACGATATAATCATCGATTATCGCACGAAAAAATATTAGAATATTATCCCTAAACCCAAAATATCTATCTTAGCTAGAAACCTTGGTGACCTTGGTTTCTGCCATACAACTGGAAAAAAAAATTCTGTCTCGTTCTTCAGTCGTGTTTAGTTTCCGAGCTACAAGAAACGTCCTCACCGGGACTTGAACTCCAAGACAGTTTTCTCCAAAGTCTTAGCTTTCCCATGTTCACTTTCTGGTTTCAAGGATCAAGCATGCCAAGTTTTGTGAAAATCGGTTAATCAATTCTCGAGACACATACATTCGTACGTACGTACAAACAAAACCAACAATTTAAATTTTACACACGATATTTCAGATTTTTCATAGGAAACCGATTACTAGAATTCTAAACTAGACGTTAATCTGCTTTTAGTTTATTCATGAATGTAATTCCGATCGATTTACTTCTGTGATCTTCAAACATTGGATGACATGAAAATGCTATATTCCGACAATCACGAGAGCTCTGATGTCAGCGTCTGACTAATAAACAGAAAAAAGATGTCGCTAGTGCCGTTTCTCGCCGCATAACCATTCGCCTTGGTCGCAACAATACTTCGCGATTCTGCACGGTAAATTTCGTGTCGGCAATGGACGCCAACTCCTCGCTGCAGTTCCTCATGTGTTGGGGGCTTTCTGCTGGAATATCCCAAAGCAAAACTGTAAAACAATTGTGATAAACCGAATGTTTATCTATAGGCAACTTATTTCCAGATAACGTTTAAGCACATTTCTATAATAATTACGATAAGTGTTATTCAGTCTAAACAACAATTACATTTACTAATCTACGTCTAGTAGCTACGGTGGTCTAGCGGTTAGAACGCTGGCCTTGTAATCCTGGGGTCTCGGGTTCGATTCCCGGCGGTGCCCGAATTTATAACTTGTGTTGGGCAAGGCCGTGGTCTAGGCAACACGGAGTTTTCCTCCGGGGGCTTCTCCGGTTTCTCCGTGGCATCCCAACAATTACTCCATTCACACACAGAAGAAGGCAATGGCAAACCACTTCTGGATCATCTGCCAAGAACGTATATGAACAGGTCCAGTCCGAGAAAAGGATGGAAGGATCCTGTTCATATGGACCTGTCGTCAGACAGAACACTAAATAAAAAAATAAAATAAATCTACGTCTTACTTTTACCACTAAAAATTTCGGCCAACTTGTGAATATCCCCAAGTGGCACACAATCTTAATAAAGAACTACACTGAACTGTAGGGCACATCGGTCATCTTAAGATTATTTCGTTACACTGCTCCTCATTCGTAAGCACAAAAGATACTTCCAATAGAGAAAATTTTCGGATTTACAGATTTAATACGCGTTTAGTACTGCGTAAAATATACGTCCAACTGGATCCCAAAATTTCACGTTATGACAGCTATTTACTCTAAAAACAACTCCAAAATATCAAAATATTTTAATATGATCGTCTGCCAAGTTGTCTATAATTTGAGGATACAGTCAAAACAATAATCTTTTTTTAAAATCTTTTTTAAGTATATTAACTAAAATTATCCTGTATATAGAAAGTTCTTGCGTGCTAGGAATGTAATACCTGTGCAACCAGGTATCAATACAAGAAACGTGCACATGTTCATCACGAAGATGTATTTTACCGAAAAGGAACGTTTCGTTTTCTTAGTCACGCTATCCATCTATTTCCTCTGTCTTCCCTCCAGAATCCTTGACCGGTGAAGGCACTCGGTACTTCCTATCCAGGCTCAATGTCTGCTCACAACTTGAAACGTAGCCACTGCTCATCCAGCACATACGACATCTCGCAGAGACTCGATCCCTGAACCAAAGACACGCTCCCCGTCAGAATTTGTGGTCAACAGATGACTGCCGAGTGAAAACAATACAACATTCCAAGGTAACTGATGTACGGCTCAGATTTGCTCTATATCCATAAAACGCCACGACACGATCACACAAAACTTCAATAAACGACCGGCAGAGGAATCACATCCATCTAATGCCAAGGTTAAAGATGCGTGAAGCTTTACCTCCTCTTCGTACGTCTTCACCAGAGGAACAAATTTAAATCTACAAAATTAACGCTCAAAAAAATTCATAATGACACTACGTATCAAACATTTCGACTCCAACTTAACAATTCACTTCTTCCTACTACCCAAAAGCGCATTTCCACATCGTGCCGCTCTTGAATTTACGTATAGTCAGAAGACTTATCACATTTTTGGTGAACAAGACATTCTGGGAAGAAATTAAGTCGCCTACTTTCCTTCAAATCATACAGTTTAAACTATAACAACAAAGAATTACTCGTAGGATTTGAGGTTTCCCCGAAGCTGAGTCTAAAGATGGCTGTCTCCTGGGTTTTTGCGCCGTGTAGTCTGGTAGAAGTTTACCGACGTTTCATAGGTCAGAGACAGCCATCTTCATAGCATAACTCCACGGACCAGTCCTTTTCAAAATCCAATAATCGATCAACTAGCTAGTCAAGAAACAGCCCTCTTTTATATAACCCAGAGCCCACCACCGTGTTCACAAGACAAACTATAAAAAAATTCTACAAATGACCCCACCCAACTTATTACATTTCTAATAAATCTTATAAAACATTTTGCTATATTATTCCAAACACATAGAAATTGTTCCAGTTTCTAACTGAATAAATGGCATTACGAATGTTAAACATTGCTTCAATAAATGTTCATCATCACAACCTATTTCCTTCAAATCTACCTTAATTATTTGCCATGCATCTCCTTCTCTATCTTGCAAACAGTTTTTTCCAAGATGGTTTCCACAAAAATCTCTATTTGGAATCCTTCGTTTCTTCAGCCCTACCTACACGCCAATGCTTCACATTACGTAACATTCTAAATGACTCTAGTTTTGTCCTCTTTACTCTCCTAATGGCCTTGCTTTCAAATATCGATACTTTATGTTCTTCATTCAATGTAATCATATCGTCGCATATCCCTACAAACTGCCTGCATTTTCGTTCTGCATATCTTAATCTCCAGCATTTTGGAAAGCAGATAAGATAATAACAAGTGACTGACTCAAATTATCTCAGCACGTTGTGGTGTTATTACTAACTCCAATTAATTTGTGGGTCATTTAATATCGATTCTTTATGAACGTTGGTGCTAACCACTGCAACACGACCTTCTGTATCGATAAATCGGGTTTCGTCTGTGATGATAGAAAGACCGATCCGGAGAACAAATCCCTGACCTACAGCATGATAAATTTAAATTTGTAGAAGTCTCAAGTTCCTAGCCGAGACGGTGACAAGTCGCGTACAAATCGATATCGCTCGCACGACCGACGTCAGCAGCGGGCGTCTTCCCCTACGAATCCACCAAGCAGTCACGTCGCCAGTGGGGAATCCTGGTCTAGAAGTCAGGTAGTAAGGAAAAGTATCATTATGTCACCCAATAATCACATTATTATATTAGATAATAAATCGTATTTTCGCTGTCTTGTTAATTTTTATATACTCAGGTTTATTCGTTTCATTACTAGCAAATTTATCTTCTTTAGATGACTTATATATTGCTTTAATTGGGCCAAAGCTAGAGTCGGCCTCTGCAATATAGAATAAATAACCTTACATCGACCGACTCCAACGAAACAAAACATACAGCAAAAGTTTTCCCACTTTGTGTTATCGTTTTTCATGTTTCATACTTTGCATAATTATGATTCAATACTGAGCCATTTAAATTTCAGAACACCTTATTCCAGACTGGACATCTCGACGCGTTATTCCTCATTAATGTTCTCAAGGTCAAAATAAATGTCATTTCATCCATCGTGTTCGTGTGCCTACAAGGCAAAATAATTTTCTATACTTTCATTATAAGCAGTGCATTAATACATGGTCCTTCCGCTTGGTGCGTCAGTGCTGCAAAAGACAGAAATTTCTGGCAACAAAACTGTCTACTTCGAGGACACCTTTTCGACAAATGAAAGTGTTCAGACTGATTACATGAACGAGTACTTAGTTTCGTCTTGTTTTCACCTTTTTATTATTTTCTCTTCTATTCATTTATTTATTTTATCTTATTCTGTTGACTGTAATATGACTCCTGTAGCTGTTAACTTACCACGTTAAAATAAAGAAATTGCCTCAATAATGAACTGAACACCATCTTTAGTTGTTCTTCCATGTCTGATTCCGTCAGTGTACGCATGCCTCAAAGGCGAATTACAGACTTCTCTACGTTTATGGTTAATCACAATTTCAAGGTTAGTCCGTCAGCTAGATGCGTTTCTGCTGCCAATGCTATTTTCAATGACATTTCTTGGTCCACAAGCTGTGGAAATCGTATTGCACATTTCACTGTTTCTTTATGTTTTGTGTTTGTTTTATGTACTTGGCTGTGATTGGCCTTGTTTGGCCGCTGACAGGCACATAAGAAACGAACTGAATTGAACTACTGAAACGCCACTATTGTTATACAGTAAAATAACAAGCAGTGTTGGTTGGCTGGCAATCATTTACTGTTATTACGGGATTTTTGGTCAAAATGCGATAATATTTATGAATCTGTGTGCTGTTATCACGGTCGCTAAAGTATGATGGTCATTTGCTGTTCAAGAATTTTGGAGTTTATGGGATAATATTATATCCGTTTCCATGGTAATACTGTTAAGGGAGGAGTACTATCTTCATGTACTGCAACGCAGAAAAATTGTAATCTCGATATAAAGCCACATTGGAGATAGGAGTACAAGATATCGTATTATATTCTTGAATTGAGCAGAGATAAGTAATTTGGCCTATACTATTTTTATATTACTAATCTGTAAGCATTTCTTGTAGCTCTAATCCAGGCTACGCGTTTCGAATGCTGTGCTGTGACTTCTTTCATTTAGCCACCCTATAGTACCCGACAGACAAAGGACCAGTTCCCAATAGGGAACAGCAGTGTACCCCATCTTACCTGTATCGGTACCAGGAGATACTTTCCCTTAGGTACACGCAACCTGCACAACTAGTGAAGAGATTTTGAGCTTCACAAGGGTTTAACCTCACCAGGATCATGTTTACGCACATTCACTGGGCAGAAACACAAAGTTAAATGGGCGTCCTCTCGTAAAGAACATACTTCAGACTCCCCCATCAATGGATGACAGGGAAGGCATGTATTCTCAAAAAATTTCGATCTGTCCAATGCTTCACGTCACCAATTTTTTTTGTCGTTCACTGGTAATCAATTAAAAGTGACCCGGACAAGTGACAATCATTATCGTCACTGAATCATCTTAAAACTTTGCATACCGTGTAGTGTATTATAAACAGCAACTACAAGATTTCTATTATCATAAATAAACTCTCCCACAACAGAAAATACTACGAGATTTGGAACAACAAGCGTCTCCACAGTCACATCTGTTATCACCAGTAACGGAAGAGACCATCTGGGAGACCAAAACGGAGATTGAAGGATAATATTAAAAAGGATCCTAAAGTGTCAGGGTATGATGTTGCAGACTAGCTTCATCTGACTCTGGGTAAGGTCCAAAGGCAGGTTCTTGTAAACACGGTAATGAAATTTCGATTCCACAGAAAGCAGAATTTCTTGGCCAGCAGAGTGACTACATCACTGGATATAAGAAAAGTTTATGTTCTTGGGTATGCGCTGATGTTCAATGTTAAACTGATTGAAATTTCAAGAGAAGTGGGTGTTGGATGAAAAATGTTATCTATTCCTGTACATTCACTGAAGGATTTTTTCTATAAATTAAGAACGAATGCCGCCAAATCATTCTGATCTCTTGTTGCTGTGCACCAAACAAATAAAAAGATTTAGTACAAAGACCTGCAGCTATCAGTAATAATGAAATCCATGGCTTTTACTGATTGATTTCACAGGTGAATTTAAATGCTAACTGTTTCAGTAATATCCGTAGTAATAAAGTAATTATATCATGAATGTTAATTAAGCGTTAATTTAAAATACATTCCTCATATGTAATGTAAATATACAAATGACTGAAACAAGAAAACATAATATATCAACACACGCTTATCACACAAATGTGTTTCCAGCATTGTGGATTTAGTTATCAAAACTATAAATTAATTTCAGAATAACAAATATCACTGAGAGCTCATTCCCTCCTCAGGATTCTAACATTGTATTAGCGGGCTTGACACTGGCATGTTCAAGGTGTTAAAAAAGAGTAATAATTTTAGTGTGAAGTTGAAAGAAAACAAGAAAACTTCTGAAAAACCTATTGAAAAACTGTCAAACAAACAGATAACAACTATCCACACTGTAAAAAAGTAAAAAGATATAGATGTCCTTCTATATGTCATGTAGGCACTTGGGGGGAGAGGTGGTATAGCTCCTACTAATTCTTAACCTCAGCAATATATAGGGGTGAGTGTGTCAGCATCACACCCTCTACCCCGAGAAAAGGACCCCAGTACCCATCATATAGGAGGCTGGGTGGGCCCCAGAGCCAGTCTGGATGCATAGGGTAGAGGAAAAATCCTCTGCCCCTGTAGGGGAATGAACCCGTCAACCAATCTGCAGTCAGTCACTATACTTACTGAGCTAACCCTGCTACTACTATTCATATTGACTAAACATAAATTGTGGAGGTTCCACTACACATATGAACTGTATTATTGATGAAGATGACTGTCTTTTGGGTTGTTATGCCAAGTAACCTGGTGGAAATACACCAAACATTTCAGAAGCGCTTCTTGCTTCCATTAACAGGATGAGCTACGCTACTTCCACTGTGTTTTTTGGGAGACAATCACTGATGTAAGTATTTCTGAGTAACAAACTTCAATTAAAATCTAATCATGAGGCTTGTTACATTTTATTGTATGCAAGTCACTGCACAATCCTGCAAATACTGGTAATTAAATCTGATGTCCAATAATATTTTTTAGTAATATAGCTGGCATGCATAAATCAAATTTTTATTATGCTGCACTTCTTTACCTTATTTTGCTTTGTTTTTTATCACTACCATTGAAGAGTATAGAGTTGTCCCTAGTGCAGTGATGTTTCTATGTTAGGAGGATGGGGTTGGGAGGAAGATGAGTGCTGCTATCTAGTTGAAAAATTCTGATATATACAGTGTATATAAAATGTCAAAAACAGAAATATCTATACAATGTAAATTAGCAACACTAATCAAATGCAATAGCTTCCAATAGATGACAAAAAGACAGAAGTTTTTGTCTGTTGGCAACAGATGACACTAAGATTCCATATATTGAAATACCAAGTGGAAAAATTAAGGGAAGTTTTTCAGAACAACTCCACCAAATTAATAAGCCATGCTCCATAGCAACTACAAATTCCACACTTAACCATCCACAGAGTGCTTCATATCTTAAACTGCACACATACAAGATGAAAACTGTGCAGGCATTATAAGACAGTGACACTATACACTAGTCTTGTTACTGAGCTTCACGATCTATGTAACAGGATAACAAATTTCATTTTGTCAGAAATACCAGATATGTTTGAATGTACATGGATTGAGAATACTAACTTGATATTATCCATGAAATGAAAGGTGATCATGTGGAAACTGTGTAAAACTGGCATTTTTTCAGAATCTGTGGCAGCAATCAGAATGTAGATATGTTGATTTGTTAACAGTTATTACTCCTTAATTTCACATTATTTTAAGCACACCCTGTGCTATTTCAAATATTGGGTTGTTGTAATCAATACTGGTATCTGATACTTCACACAATTTTTTCAAACTCGTTCTCCACCATTCTAACGTAAAAATATCATTGCACTCAGAATGTAACTCTTCACTACAAGACACAGGATAGACAATATGGCAAAATACAGGTAAAGAAATGCAATACATATAAAAAATTTCATTTAGACATATCAACTACGTTACTAGAACAGAAATATTGTCTTACAAAAATACATATTACAGATTAGACAGATTAACACAAAGCATCACAAAAACTTTGATCAAGATTTCATTAAATATTTCAGTGATTTCAAACATTTTATTTCATGTTATTTTATTGCATATCAAAATAATAACAAATATATGCATGGCTGTGCAGTAAGTCACGTACAAAAAATGTAACAATTCTGATAATTAGATTCTAATCGAAATATGTTGCTTTAAAAATACTGACATCAATGACCAATTTCCAAAAACAAGATTAAATATTGTGTTATTCACCTTATATAGGTGTGTCAAATGACGGCGACTGAATAGAATATAGTGAACACACCAGAATGTTACAATACAAAACTGAATATAAAAGCAGTTTCTTACCTGAGCGAAAGAACTTCTACATTTTGCATACGGCGAAGTAAGCTGACATCTGACAGTTCACTGCCCCTGTAAATATATGAAAAATACATGCTTTTAATTTCACCCATGATCTATAATTTGTGTTGCAAAAGTGTTAACACTCAACGAGCCAAATTCGTACCGAATCCTACGCTCACGACTTTATTCCCGATTTTCAACTTACCAACAATTTAGTTTCCTGATATTTGAAAGATCTGATGCTCTTGTACGAGCAATAACCATCTCTTCTGTTAACCTTGCCATTACGGTTTTACAACCTTCAAACAATCATTGGCAAAGAACACTAGAAATTTAAAACACATTCAGCAACACCAATTCAAATGTGAAACTGTCACCACGTAATATATGAGGCGTCTCGACCAGTAAGAAACATCCGTCAGCACTCTTCGTACTTCTTGCATTGTATTTGAACGACAGGAAACCCGAATAAGTTCAAGTTTCACTTCAAAATTCTGACCATAGATGTCACTACATACCATGTGGCACTTTCATTTGTCAATCAGGCAAGTTCAAGAATGTTTCCAGTTTGCTGTAGGCACATGTGTTACCAATGTAGAATATTACTTTACAAGACTCAATCTGTTTGTGAACGGTTTTAGGAGTACCGCCAATACTTGAAAGAGGTTATGTATCCCATTTAAAGAACTGTGAGCAATTAAAAACTTTTAACAAGTTGCTGTTTTTTTAAGTCATAAAATAATGTCACTCGACTTAGAGGATCTGAGGAGGCAGCTTGAGGAGCAGTTAGAAGTATTGAAGCGCTTCCCAAATGGGCCGAGTTACAGAAGTAAGGAAAAGGTTTATACTTTTTCAGAATATTATATGAATAATCATTACGTACATTTTGTTGTAACTCTTTTTTCGTTCTGCAGGCATTCGCAAGAATCTTGCTAAAATATGTTTGGAATCTGACAGAGAGATGGAAGCCATATTCAATCTGGTTGAATCGCATGCAGTTTCACTTCGCACAAGAACACATTTAAGATATGACCAAGCTAGGTAATGAGAAATAAAATTGTAGAATATAAACCATTTATTTATAAATTAGCTTATTGTGTATATATTATTCTACTTTTGGAATGCAGGTTCAGTGAAGAGGAGTCCAAGCTTGGTTTAAATGGGCTATTGGTAAGGCATGGAGGTGTAAATGAGCATAAAGGAGTTCCTGCTATGTTAGAAAGGCTGTATGAGCTACCTGAAGGTAAAGATAAACATATTATTGGTCTGTCATTGATAATTTTAGTCTGCCTCAGAATACTTCAGCTTGTGAGGCAAGAGAATATTTTACCTTAGCAGTGTATGTTACCTCTGCATTGACAAATGAGTACATCTCTTATTTAGTTTTCTTTTGTTGCCGAGATGTATAGATTTATCTTACTTTGTTAATAGTACACTTTTTAATTAATCTCAGCCACTGGCTGAAGCTAAGCTAGAAGCCATACGATGAAGTATATTACTGACAAAGGACATTCAAAGTTTAGTTCTGGCTAGGAAATGACTATCATGACTTGAGATTTTTCTTTCCTTCATGCTAATTGAGATGATAGTATTTTGTTGAACACTACACAATATACAGGCAGTTTAGTGTCTGTATAGAAAGTATGGAACAAATTTAGCCAGCAGAGTAAGTGTAATCAGAATATACAACTAACACAGAAAATAAGCATCACAGTGTCATGTATCTCAACTGCAGAGTGGACTCTGGTGCAGCTGACATTTGCACATGACCCAGCATCACGATTTACATCTCACACACACCCATTTAAGCATCCGACTCCTCCTGAACTACACATCACAAGATTTGAATGTGGTAAACATGCAAGAAAGCATCCTCCATATTGCATTACAATACCCATCAAGCAGAAATTCAGGACTCTGAAGGCAGAGTTACGAACTATCATTGATGATCACCAGAACCGCCTCAAGTGGGGCCTTCTGACGAATGAGCAGTATTACAGGTTTAAAGGAACTTTGGATATGAGGATGAAGGTAGGTTTACACTTTGTAATTTCATAATATTCAGGAAATATGAGGGTTCAAAGGCACAAGACAGAATAAAGCACAGATATTTTCTCCTCATAATGGACTAGCTTGTCCCGCGCCATAGCCGCACGGTCTGAGGCATCATGCTTCTCACCGGCGATACGGAATGCGCGCTGGTTCGAGTCTCGGGGGAGAAGAAATTTTGTCATGAGCTTTCGACCAGTGTATGGGACCAGTGCCAACCCAGCATCGTGAGGAAATTGGGGAGCTACAATGAGTAGCGTAATCCGGTCAGGAAAGCTAGCAATGGCTGGGGGGTTGTCGTGCTGACCACACGTCACCCTATATCTGGTTGGATGATCGTTCACCTCTGCTTAGGCATGTGAACGTGAGGCCAGCAGCCAGCTAGTCGGCTTTGGCTCTCTGGAGCTGTTATGCCACGGATTTACTTTTTTTTTAGTGGACTAGCTTAATAGTGCATATGTATAGACACTGATCACTCAAGAACTCTGTTGTTAAGATAGTAAATTGTGTGTTCATCCATCACATACATATTCAGTGGGTTGAACATAATGAAAAATTAGAAAAAACATAGTGAACTTCTGTGAATGAATACCTCTAAAGGTGAATTTAAATGTATCTTCCAATCTAGGAAGTAGTTCACATATTCAGAGGTGTGCACTGTGGACAGAATATTAAATGTATTTTTAATACATGCTGTTATATTGGCAGAACGTGGTAACAAGGCTACAGAATGACTGGCTAGGGCACTGGATTAGTCTTCTGGTTGCTCACTACACTGAGCCTGAAAACGAGGACCAAGTTGCATCATTTGTTGACCAGTTGCTGGATGAATATGTGCAGAATGAAGATACCTCACTGTGAGTGCCTAATGAATTGGCTTGTTGACAGAATTTTCTACGAAGATCACTGTACTGTTATATTTTAAATTTTTATCCTTAGCAATTAAAGCGTGGCAGCCATGTGAAATTTGAGGTGGAGGAATGCTAATAACATTTTCAATATAGGAACATCAAATTTTGTATGACAGTTTTAAAAATTATAAACCACTCAGTTCTGAATCTTTTGTTTTCCTGTCTCGTCTAATAATGTCAAGAATAAATCTGTGTTTATGCCCTGTTTCCACACAAAACAAAAATAATGTCAGTATGATAATGCTTTATATGAACATGCTAGCAGAAGATAACATGAAACATCAAATGAACATCATAGCTGAGTGGTTAATTGCAGAAACAAGAATTCTTGTGTTCACATTTAGGCCTGTTCATCTGCCATTGTCACTAAGATTTCTCGTGGTTTTCTTCAGCCCCTTTAGGCCATGAACACTTCCTTCCATTTCCTTTCCAATTTATTTACAATCCTACTGTTCAGTGCTATATAGTTTTAGCAAGTGGCAGCATTATTAATCCTTCAAAGCTGAAACTCATCCAAATAATAATTAATACTTCAGTCCATGCCACAAACAGAACACCTTACTTCACCATTACAAAGATCAACTGCCCAACACTGTTGAAGGAAATAATCCCTATTTTTACACTGAGAATCATATGAAACACAATAAAATAACTCATGATATTCAAATTACAACAAAGTGAAAAGTATTAGGGACTATTATAAGTTGGAAAACCATCTCAATCATCTGTACAGAATTGCTAAATAAATGTATCGGTCATGTTGACTTGCAGACAAAAAGAGCAACATTCTGTGACAACCTGGTCCAGAAGAAACATGTATCTTCTTGCAAAGGCATCAGCCTTCCTGCCAGAATGGGAACTGCGAAAGGGCGTGGCAGACTGTTTGAAGATACCTGTTGCAGCAACCAAGAACCTAACACAGCAGCTCAGTAAACTTCCTGATGCAGTGAGACTCCGGACTACAAGGAGGCACCCAGTCATTCTCCTTCTGGATGAGGTACTTCTAATCTCATAAGGAAATATATTGCTTTCACTTACAGTTAGGTTTTTGGAGAAATATACATGCCAGTGTGTGTGTGTGTGGGTGCATGCACATATGTACACAACTTTCTTCCAGTCAGATGGATGTTCTGGTGATAGAGGTTGAAGCAAGATTGCTCACAAATATAACATTTTTATTGCCTCTTTACTAGACAACTGTTGTTCAGACTATGACACAGACATTAGGAATTATTCTGTACATATGCAGAACACCTCTGAAGAACACAAAAGCCCATATTCGAAGGGTTCTGTAGCTCTTTCACCCTGAAGAAGAAGAAGAATGACACAAGGTATGTACCTCTCATATAAATGATTTACATTTAGGGATGTACAATTTAAAATCTGAAGTTTTAGCAAGTTTAGTATTTAGTTTAAATTTATCCATGGAACCTGGGTTTTTTCGTAGAACACAATTTGAAAATCAGTGTGTGTTAAGAATTCACATTTGCTAATTAAAAGTTCACATTTCTCCATAAATTATGCAGAAACTCTGAATCAACAAATAGGTGTAATGTACTTGTGGAAAATGTACCAAGACACAAATATTTGTATTGTAAGTTTCAAATTCTAACCAACCAATAGTTGAGATTAACTTGTGAAAAATACTGTACCATGAAACAAATATTTGGGCTAAGATTCTAAAAGTGTTTGTAAAACCCAAGAAACAACTCATGGATACTTTCTTTTAAAATCCTGCTCTAACAAATACTATTGCCTAAAATATAGGTCAGAGCAATGATGAATTCTGGAAGTCCAAAAAGAGAAAATTGCTTCTATCTTTGAGCATGTATTCAATCTACAGTGCTTAGAGTTAGAAGGAAGATTACATTGGACTTTGGAAATGTCACTGCTCAAACCTAGGAATGATTAAATATTCCATACTACTACCAACATGCACCATATCAAGATCTCATACCAGTTAAACCAAACCTAACTTAACATGCTATCTCCACACTGCAGGAACTAGAACTGTTTCCGTGGGAAATGCTGACTGTCATTCAAGATCATCCCGTGTGCAGAGTACCAAATTTACACATACTGTATGCCCTTTACAAAGGTGAGATTGATTTATGGTGACACGAGCCAGCTTCTAAACTGTAGTGCTTTTTAATACCTTCTTTGCACAAAATGCATGAAGTGAGTGCATACAAAAGAGGTAGTGTTCGTCTGATGTTTTATGCTTGCTGCTTCCAACATCAGAATGATCACCCTGATGATGGAGGCACATCAGTAAACGTTTTCCAAACTACATGGCAGAAACTTCCCAGAAGACAGTCTTGTCTCCATTTGATAATTTATTTAATTTTCAGTTGGGGTGGCGGAACTAACTAATAACCATTTATATTGATACCGTGATTCTCACAAGAAATTTTGAATACTGCTATGAGGATGACCTTCAGTTATGTAGCTTGTACATAAAAACTATTTCAGTGGCTCAAAAAAGATTTTAGAGAATGCATAGAGACATTATTGCTTGTTTTCCCAGGATAAATTAAAACTCAAATTAAAGAGGGATGATACCATTACTTAATAGATGTGACCATGAATATCATTTCAGCCCATGAAGATAATATCTCAGGGGGAAGACTCCAAGTTGATGCAGAATTCGGATACTACATTGTGAATCCTGAGCAGAACTTGCCTCGAAATGAGAGACGCCTTCGTCCATTCCTTACTTCACGAGCTCCTAGTTGGAAGGGTACATTTGGTGTTTTGCCATCTTCTGAACAGTTCAGAGATGTGCTTCAGAACTACAGCATATTCATGTAAGACTGTCAAACAATGCATCCTGACTTCAGATGGCACTGTTGAAAATCTTATATTTCAGGCATCCTCTAGTGCAGTGCACTATAATTACAATAGGTATTAGTCTGTCTACACAATAACTTTTACTAATTATGTCTTATTTTACCACTACATGTTTCAATCATCTTTCAGGATGTAGTTTTCATATTTACAGCATTAAGATCGCCTAATGACTAATATTAGTGTTGATGGTGATCCAGACCATCACCAATATTAATATTAGCCTCCTCTGCAATGTGCACATCAGTTTAATCAGTAATTTCCCAATAATTGTAGGCTCAGTTTAACTTGTGGAGAAAACTCTGGCAAGGAGAATTTCTGCCCGATTAGTGAATTCAAACCAACATTTGTTGACCTCTATTATTATACAATATATTTAAAATACAAGTATAAAATATTAATCTGTATTAAAATTTTCAGTTCAAAAAGTGATGTTTTCAGTCTTGTCTGAAGCAATACATTCTTCACACAAATCTAATTTATTTTTCATATCAGCAGTTGACGTCTTAATTTTAGCTATGCTGGACATGGATCAGGCTCACAGTTCCTGCAGGGGGATGAAATTCAAAAGGTGAAAGTTCAAGCTGTGACCTTCCTCTTTGGGTGTTCAAGTGTCACGAGCAAGGACCTGGGTGGACAAGTAGAGCCTGCTGGAATGTGGCATTTCTATCATATTGCAAGTTGGTAAGTATTTCAGCAGTTAGATGAAGGAGCAAGGATGAATACTCACCTTATCAGTGACAAGCTATATTTATTTATCTTATAATTTATATGACTGTCAACTCCTTACTATAAGCACTGACTAATGAATGATGAATTGGGAAGGGTGTCTACTTAAAGTGCTAACCTTGTATTTGCCTGGAGGGAGTGAGGAAACCAGTAATTAAGGCTAGCTGGTCTCCAGGCCAAGGTTTCAGCATTAGGCCTCCTAGACACAAAGTAAGATTGCTGACCACTAGCCCACCTTTTATGGAACCTGAAAGTTCACTGCTGTTTTTGCATTATCCCACAACTGGACCCTATCCCAAGATGGTGAAACCCAATCTGCCCTCTCACGTTGTTTATTTTCTTTAAGATTCATTTTAATACAGTACTAGTACTGTCCATGCCTAAATCTCCCAAGCAGTACCCTCTTCCCTTCAAATTTTCTGGCTGAAATTCTGTATATATTTCTCACCTCCCCTATATTTGTTACAGGTCATACCTGTATCATCCTTCATTTGACCACCCTAATAATATACACAAAGAGCACAAATTATGATGCTCCACATGTTCAGCTTTTTCCAACTTCCTGTAATTTGTCTCTTAGGTCCAAATGTTCTCTACAGCAACCTGTCCTTACAGCCTAATGTAGGCTTTTCCCTTGAAGTGAGAAGCCGATATAAGACACCAACATTTCGTCAAAATAGATTCAGACAGAGGATGTCAGTACAGAAGTAATGAAACCCACAGAATTGTGAATTTTCATGTTTGTCTCATAACACCTCAAGCAAACAATGTTCAATGTGGTGGAACTGTATTAGTGTTCGTTACAGCTAAACCTCACTAATTTGGACTGAACAGAACCTTTCTCCAATTTTTTCAAGAAAGACAATACAATTTTGGAGGGACCATCTACATCTGATACAATTAGACTTTACTAAACAGAACATTTCTCCAATTTCTTCAAGAAAGACAATACAATTTGGGAGGGACCATCTACATCTGATACAATTTATAGTTACTAATGTTTACCACGCTAATTAAAGTTCACTGTTTAAAGAAACATTATTTTTGTTGTATTATTTAAATTCTTTGGATACTGTAACTGTTTTGAATATAAACATTTTCTATAAAATGTTATTCTTTTCATCATGTGTATTCTAATGCAGAGTTAACACATGTTGCCTGGATTGTAAATCAATTTGCTTGTTCTCATGAACTACAGCTTGAAAATATTTACATATATAAGTAGGTTCTATAAATTAGGCTTTTCATTAATTCAGACTACCCTTTTAGTCTAAATATGTTTTCCGTGTATATGGTAAGTCATTTCATGTAAATCTGCATAAAGACTAATCGATTTTAAGAATATCGCTAATACATTTTATAACACGAAGCGTGCACCATTAAAATCACAGTCCACCTTCCAGCTATCACACTCATTTAAATTATATCCATTTGATACACAATGCCCTGCTTACAGCATGACAGCAGACAAATGCCAAGTATAAATAAATAAAATACTTTTATGTCAACCTTCAGGGTGCATTTGGACTTTCTTTTCTGGATTTTTTATTTGAAAACTGAAGTAAAGAGTAAGGTGAGAAATGTAGCTGACAAATGTGAACCAATCAAAATAATGGTACTGGTGTTTAAAATGCAGATTAAAATAGTAGTTTAACCCTTTTCCATTGTATGTCAATATACAATCAACATTTCTTTTCATTTATCATTATCTTATGTCACTCCCTGCTAAATGCTGTAAACAGACAATTACAGAATGCTCTGTCTGGTGGCTGCCACCATTATACAGACATGATTCAAATGCCTTTAAAAATAGAATGTGATTCAGTATATCAGAGGTATTTAAATGCTTGTATGTACTCACTGCAGAAAATTCTGAGTGTTGTGACTGGAAAGTGTTAAATGTGATCTGGTTCAAAATTAAAATTCAGTGTTAGTCCTGGTCATCTCTGAAATGCTTCACAGTCCCATGGTGATTGGCAACCTGTGGGCTGTGACAGATGCTGCATCAGATGCCATAACAGTACATACACTACACACCTGGCTGCCAAGAACACTGGAGATGGTAGCAGATGAAGAGCAGGAGAGAGTGCCACCGAAACCAAATGACATAAGAGACCCAGACGCTCCAGAATTATGGTATCCATATGGTTATAAATGGAAGCAAGAACCCGACTTGCTGTATGCCATCCACCGTGGGCATGCTTCTAATAAACACTACATGGCATCAGCTGCTCTGGTTGCTAGGGGACTTCCAGTTGTCATCAAGGGCAAAGTTGACAAGAGCATGACAGTACAGCATCAAGAACAGGAGAGCCTAATTAATTTGAAATAATTCTTTCCACAATATGTTTTATTTCTACTAAGTTTAAAAAACTGCAATATACATCAAATTTGTTTAAGAACATGGCAATAAAAAGTACCACACTGTATTAGTAAATATATGAGACTAGTTGGCACATTTTTTGAGTTCTCGTGAATTTTCAATAACACTTCTGTACCTCTTACCGTTACTTGTGTGAAGCATACTTCTACTTTAGCATTTCATTGCTTTTCAACTTTGCTTTAGAATGTGCAATTAGAAAGATCCAGGAGAACCAGGTAAGATTGAAATTAAATGGGACATCAGCTTCTGGGCTATGCTGATGATGTAAGTCTATTGGGGGATAACATAAATATCACAAAAAAACAGCGATGCTCTAAATGATGTTAGTAAGGAGGTTGGTCTAGAAGTAAACACAGAGAAAACTAGGTATTCGATGTATGTTGATGTCATGTCACAAGAATGCAAGGCAAAATTGTAACAAAGATAGCTAATGGATCCATTGATAATGTGGCTAAGTACAGATATTTGGGAGTGACAGTAACAAATCAAAATTTGATTCATGAGGAAATAAAAGAGCAGATTAAATTCAGGTAATGCTTCCTACCATTCAGTTCAGAATAATTTGTTTTGCCTGCATTTTGTACGGGTGTGAAACTTGGTCTCCGACTCTAAGGGAGGAACATAGACTGAGGGTGTTTGAGAACAGGCTGCTGAGGAGAATACATGGACCTAAGAGAGAGCTTCATAAGTTGTACTCCTCGCCAAACATAGACTGATCATGTCAAGGAGGATGAGATTGGCAGGGCATGTAGCCCACAAGGGAGAGAAGAGGAAGGCACATAGTGTTCTGGTGGACAAACCAGAAGGAAAGACCTTATATAAATATTCTTAGAGAAATAGGATGGGGTGGTATGGACCGGATTCATCTGGCTCAGGATAGGGACGAGTGACAGGCTCTTGTGAACATGGTAATGAACCTTTAAATTCCATAAAATGTTGGGAATTTGAGTGGCTGAGCATCTGTTGGCTTCTCAGGAAGGACTCAGCTCCGTCGAGTAAGTAAGCAATTATACTAGCGTAAATGATGATCTAGTAACAAGATAAGTAATACAATCTCCCACAACTCTTCATAGGCAGAACTGTATGTAAGCCAATTTCACTGTCTCTTCAGTTCTGAAAGTTTTCTCTCTTTTTTAAGGACAATTCACATTTGGTGACATTTTTTTGGTAAGCTAAGTCGAAGTAGTGGTGGTGCTGGTGGCAGGGATTACAGTGCCATCTATAAGCAGACTTGTAAAATAATGTTCAGCCTATATAACATCTTTAAAAAATATAAGTCTGAAGATGAATGAAGAAGCCAAAGTCTGTGCATGAGTACATCAGGTGTTTCTAGAATATGCAGGGAGGCAAAGGTACTGGAAGATCAGGATCCTACAAAACTATATTTTGAGAAAGACATACACAGAACCAACATTTGTATTTTATGACAGGCAAATTTCCAACAGTGAAAGAAATTAACATTGTCGCTCCAAGAAAAAATTCTGTATCAGGGCTCAGTTTCTAATACATTAAGGGCACTGAAATGTTGATCTTTTTTGTAGGAGTTCATTAAGTTTATGTATTAGAATACAAACATTAATGTCTCTCTCTCTCTCCAGATATTGTCAGATTGCTTCTTTGAGTATGTGAGTGCTGACAACCCTGCTGTAACTTATCACTGGCTCCCATCATGTCAGAGATTTGAATCTTAATACCATTACTATTTAAACACTCCAGTTAAAATCCTACCAGCAGTCCAGTCGTTTGGGCATTTAATTACCATACTCCCACATAAAAATAGTTAACCATAATTTAAACTGATGGTTCCAATGAATTGTCCTCAGAACATTATCTTCACCCAAATCCGCATAACATCAATTGTTTTTCCTAATGTACCACTGAAATTGTAATCAGAGTTAAAATGGCAACACTGAACCCTTCCATAGCAGTGCCTCTAAGTTTATAAATCTCAAGTCAGAATTTGACTATTTGTGACATACTATCTGAACCACGTTATCCTTTTCTACAATCTTCAGCATGGAAACCTCCCATTAATTAACTAATGATGGTTAACGCACACCCAAGTTATATCAATTTATAATGGACTAATACAAATTACCATAGAAAATAGTTCACCAAACATGCCTATGACAGTGTAATCAGTGAATTCTGGCTTGCCAGAATGAGACAAAACCAACTTAATGACTTCTCCCCTTCCTCCATTACAAACCCAATCTAAAAAGGGAAATGAATACAACACATACAATAAATATGACACATTTTATGATATAGTAGGTTTATAGTACAAATAATTATACAGATGTGCTCGACCAAATTCACCCAACAGTAACCCAATGTCCTCAACAGACAAAAAGAGGCTCACACAACATTTACTACTATCTCCAGGTTACCTCAGTGCTGTTGGTATCTACCATGTGCCAGAACTTCCTTCATCTTCTTCAAAACAGTTGGCACAAGACCCAAGTGGCCATCAACACACTTCACTGCACATTTTTCAAAATCCTGGCTATATCGACTCACCTAAAAGAATTAAAAATCATAGTATAACTTGGCTGTTGCTAGGTCTGCCTCAATAAAGTAGCTGAAGAGAACTCTACATATGACAATGAGAAAGAGCATACCTTAAAACCTCAATAATCTTGAAGTGCCTTGGATGAAAAATTACTAATTCTGAATTATGCAATTTTCATCACAGACTTACCTGGCTCAAAGAGTCACTATAGAAGGTGCATGCAAATGTAACACACATAGTCACTACAGTGTAGTCATACTAATACAAATAACTTACTTCTGCATCAGTAGGGTTGGGCCCCATCTTATCCCGGATATCATCATTGCACTGCATGATACATCTTTGTAATCTATTCTGAAAATAGTGTGTGTGTGGTTATTTCCATGACAAGCTAGAAAATATCATCATTGAGAAAGAAATTAAGAGAATACATTCTTGCATGTACTATACGCTATGGAAGACTGGGAACAGCCATCAAAACACAAATTAAGGTTCTAAATATACTACAGATACATCTTTACAGGACAGAGACCAATTATTTATGACTTTTTCATGTACATGTTTAACAGAGTTACACTAGTTTTTTATTTTTTATTTTTAGTGTTCTGTCTGACGACAAGTCCATATGAACAGGATCCTTCCATCCTCTTCTCGGACTGGGACCTGTTCATATACGTTCTTGGCAGATGATCCAGAAGTGGTTTGCCATTGCCTTCTTCTGTGTGTGAATGGAGTAATTGTTGGGAGGCCACGGAGGAAAACTCCGTGTTGCCAAGACCACGGCCTTGCCCAACACAACTTCTGTGTGTGAATGGAGTAATTGTTGGGATGCCACGGAGGAAAACTCTGTGTTGCCTAGACCACGGCCTTGCCCAACACAAGTTATAAATTCGGGCACCGCCGGGAATCGAACCCGAGACCCCATGATTACAAGGCCAGCGTTCTAACCGCTAGACCACCGTGGGTCTATTACACTAGTTACAGACTAACATCTGTAGTTACATAGAGTGTTTCAAATTTATCACAAGTTACACAACAAATGTCTGGATGAAATAAATTCCCTTCATTTGTCCTGTAACAATGCTGCATCAACTTCAGCAGCTGCATCTGAGATATGGCCTCGTAGATCTGGTAAGGACTGTGGCACTGGTTGCATGTAGACACAGTCCTTACAAGACTATGAACAACAAAAAATGTACAAAAAAAACTGAATTTTTCAAAAAAATGGTGGAATATCAACACCTAATATTTTGGCCAGGAAGTCAGAAAGTCCACTGCCATACTGAAAATCTAGAGCCAAATCGGAGAGTAACAAATGACCAGGTGCCCTTGTGATTTACGTTATGTTTTTGTTCGGTAACTGTATTATGGTTGGGTGGGTATTTATGCATGCACTCAGACAAGACATTTAAATAGGCACATACCTCAGGCAAATTACTGAAATTACATAATCACTGATATTTTTCATTGTTCTAATAATAGTATATTTTGAAGAATATTTGTATTTATATCACAAAGTACTAAGTTGTACTACCTTTAATTATATGTTTTTATGTCACATCTTATAATGTTGACTTAAAAGAAGTATATGAGAGAGAACAGAAAGGTAAAGGTACAACAGGGATAAGGCAAAGTAAGAAAAATAGCAAGGATTGAGATACAAAAGAAGTTGTTCCCAGTTCAATTCTAATAGGGATTTTATGCTAGTATTAAGCATACAAATAACAATGTAACAAGTTTGGCAATATATGAAGGCAAAAGGATGCACACGCAAAAGACTCATGTATGTAATTCAAACATTATAAACACGTAAGTGAAAACAATGTGAAAGATAATTTTAAATAGTTCATGTCAAAGGTTCTTAAAGTGTCTGGAGATCACAGAAGTGCAAAGATGCTTGCATAACAAATTAAATACAGTTTCAATTTTGTTATTCTTATCATTAATACACCATATTATAAATGCTAGACAGCTGACAGAAAAATTATTAAGAGGTCTGCTAAGACCATCAGCAATTTCCGAATGATTTGGCAGAATAAAGATAGAAATCCATTGGTTTTTTATGACTAGTAATAATGATTAAGACTTGATCTCCAGACCAATAGCTATACTTACAGTGAACCTAAACATCATATACTATGAAAGAATTAAACTGCTACCAGAAAATCAAATCTACCCACTAATAGCAAACAATTTTAATTGGCATTAAAAAACTCCTTTTGTAACACATCTACTTCATTGATGAGTTTCCAAACCTTCATAATTTACAGCAGTTTGTTAAATATACAGAAGGCTGTACAAATTCTTGCAGAATAATTATATGAAAATTTTTATTTGTATGAATATGGGTTATAATGGCAGCATGGCTATAACATTTATAGTAACCTTAAAGAGTAGACTGGGAAGACCAAATGACATAAAATATATAAAACAGAGCAGGAAAAGAACAAACACAGGGAAACAGAAAATAATGGACAAGGCATTGTCTGAGATCTCTATGGTCACAGCAATTATAAATAAAACACACTTTGCGAAGTTCTTCATATATCACACATAAAACAAGGGGAAAATAAATATCAAAATATAACACAAAGGAGATGCTCATCCTTCTCAACTTACTTGCAAATGTTCAAACTCGTTTTGAACATATTTTTGTGCTTTGTTTAAAGATACAGAACAGTTTTCAACACACTGATGCACACGTTCTATAGAGAGATCATTGTTATCACAACAATTTGCTGCACAGCGATGCATATCTGCCTGGAAAATATAAGGTGTGGTTTAAAGATGATGTATCTATTGGCAAATGGTTTAATTTGAACAGAACCATAAAAATGGTAAACACGCTACAGACAAAATCTTTCTACAAGGACCAAACACTGTAAAACGTACTTGCATTTTTCGTAAATGAAGTTTATCGACTTCATTGACCATTCTCGTCATAGCCTCTTCTACACGTGTTCTTTGTTCTTCAACCATTTTCGAGACAAATGTTTTTTCCCACAATTACTTATTTCTGACAGACTCAAGCTGAAAATTAACCGGCGCTTGAAATATACCACACATAATTTCAAATTCAATTTAAATAATGTATTACAGTCTACCACTGCTTCTCTTCAGTTCACCCTCCATCACCACCTCACGCACATAAGAACATAGATAAAAACTTTGGTTTATTATCTGTATCTACTTATTTAACTATGCCCAGAGATAATAACGTATAGTATTCTAGGTTGTAGGGCCATGTAGACCGAAAGACTTTCCTCAGAATAACACTGTGTAGCCTAAAGTTTACCACATTACAATATGACAGACCTTTTCTTTCACACCGCCGTAAAAACTTCAAATCCATAGCCAACCTAGACCTACGATCACATACATAACATTGTAATCCAGGTTTATATCACATATAATATTAATGAATTGCACAATGAAATATAGAAGATACAATGTATGTCATAAACAATTTTAGTCATGTCCATAGATAAGTCAAGCCTATGACGATTACAAGTATCCGTTCTCATGGAGAGGAAGTCTTTGGACTGGGTTGTACTTACCTGTGAACCTACTGGTATATACCAATATGTGAGAGGAGCATACTGCGATATTGCCTGAAATTTAAATAAACATAACGTTTAAGCGAACGGGTGATGAGAAATAAAAACTCTTTATGCATATCTGATCTCCTTAAACTCACTCACATACTCTGGTACAGGAAATTCATTTGAAAAGTCGATTGTCAAAAAATAGCCCACTTTCTGTTTTTGAACCTGAAGATTCATCATCGTGTTAACAAAAGCCCTCCAACGAACTCTATCCTGAGCTAGCAGCATCCAATTCACTCCATTGATTCTTATCTCCCTGAGATCCATCTTAACGTTATCTTCCAATCTATGCCTAGATTTTCTCAGCAATCTACTTCCTTCAGGCCTGTAAACCAATACTTTGTAAACGCTCCTGCCCACCCCATGTGTCCCGCCATGTCGTACCCATCTCATTCTCCTCGATTTAATCACCCTAACAGTATCGGGGAAGGAGTACAAGCTGTGGAGATTAGAAATATGTGCAAGAATTTTGGTTGGAAAACCTGATCACCACTAGAAAGATATAGATGTAGGTGAACTAGCTTTACCTGGTTCTAAATAGTAACAAGTGGATGCATCCAGCGTTCACAGTAACCATGTCAAAACAGCTACATCCATTTCAACCATGTACTGTTTCACATAAAGCAAACTCATCTATATCGCTTCTATAATATATACTTCGCCTGCAAGCCATGCCACCTACTTTCCCCTTTGTCCAAGATAATCTCGTCTGTTCCGTTTAGCTTATATTACATAGGATAAAGCTGCATATTAACATTTTATATCAACTTTTTTTCTTTCCTGAAACTCATCTTACATTGGTCAAAACCATAATCTCATAGCATGTGTATGGCAAAACTGAAAACTTGCATTTAATTTGTATGCTCACAGGACAAACATGCTTCGAAGCTGTTAATTCTTCCAGTATGGAAATATGTGCTGACTTCCTTCTTTGGTGTAGAGTCCTGAAGATGGAGAGAGTATTTATCCGAAACGACTGCATGTACCAAGTCCACAATGCCAAAAACCATTCCACCCTCAGTGTTGTGAAGAACTTCAAATCTCAGAAAGCAATACCACTTTATGCTCACCTACATTCCCACTATTCCATTTCTTTTCCCTCTGACAGGTAAAGTTGCAGCTCAAAGAATGGTCTGGGTATCATGAACTTTCAAGAATTGTAACCTCATAAGAAAACTGGTCTGGCTGGTGTATTTTCACTCAGTGACACACACCATATTTTGCTGTGTAGTGGATGTGTATTATATAATGCCAGATTGTAAAAACTGTTGTTTCAGTTAATGTTTACTATGTTTAAACTACCTTCTTTGCAAGGTTTACAATTCACTTCAAACTGGGTACACCTCAAATATAAATCAGAACCATTACCACCAGAGTTATCTTTCTTGTTTGGCTCAACATTAGAGGCCTTGATCCTTACTATATATGTTTATCTTTGTATGCCATTGGTTCACACATCAACTCAATCGTTCTTACCTGCACTACATAAATAATTTAATCCTATTTGGGCATCTCTCTAGGAGCCAGCAAGGCAAAGTTCTGCTTGCAATAAAGATCTCAGCACGAAAGTGGCACAAACTCACCTGCAAGTCTACTCATGTTAGAACACACTTCTTTTTTGATTCCCAGCCATTCATCTACCTGCTTCAGTAACTAGGAGTGTTTAACACTGCACTGACAAAGAATTCTAGTAGTATTCTTGAACCAGTAGTCAGAAACTTGACCATTCTGCTTGTAATACAGCTGTCGGCTTAAAGGGGGGTCCTGGCTTTATTACCGCAAGGGTTACACCATTCTGAAGCTTAAATGTTGTATGTTAAATTTTTGCCCCTCTAATTTCATCAATTCTCCAATATTTCAAAGAACTAGAAAAGTGGGGGTAAAAATATAAAGGAAATGTAAACTATGCTGCTTGTCTGATTATTTCAAAACTTCAGCATAAAGGACTGTGGATTCATCTTTAATAGTCTACATTTTATTCAGAGATTCTAGGCTCAAAATTTAAATTAACAGGTTACAATTCAATTTGATTCTCTCTATACTTTTTAGCGTTTACATGCCAATTCAATCTGGCCATGAAGTTGTGTAAGCAAATGTATCATGAAGGTCACTGGAAATTTGTGTCTCAAAATACAATTCAGATCTAATGACTGTAAGAGAAACTCCATATCAACTGAAATGAGTTTTAGACAAACTAAAATGAAAGAACAATAAGAGCTACAAATTTCACAAATGACAACCCTTCTACAACACTGCAAAACGAATTGAAAAGAACATGAAAGAATTAACTCTGATACAATCCCCTGGTCCCCAGCTCCATAATATATTACACACAGGAAGATGATGCTTGGGAAGACATAAAAAATAAGGAAAGATTGTGTTCTGTAATACAACAGGCAAACTAGGGATGATACCAGGAACTACAAGAGCCTTCTCCTAAATTTAAAACCCAAATATAAGTTACATAACAGGAGTTTAAGCTTCTTATTTAACTCTCAGCTCCCTACCCACATACAGTATTTTTAAATAAAACATTCTAAATCAAGAGTTTTCAAGTCACTTGCTGCAATGTTTCTTCTGACAATAACTGCAGTTACTTTTGTGGATTATTGTCACTAATAATAATATTTATGCAACAGTTCCAGTTATATTATGTTAAAAGTTAGCCAAGAAATAAATGAGGGCCATGCGATGACTGTTTGATACCCTTAGATTCACAGCATTTTGAAGTTTGTTTATTCTGAAATAATGCACCTATGAGGTCACAGTCACATACATTTTGGTGCACACAGCTGTCATTACTGTAATATCATCAGTCCAAATAGCTGTTCTGATAACTTTTTTGTATCTTACACTGTTTATGTAAAGCAATTAACTGCTACATGCCACTAAATAAATCTCTTTCTAGGAATTTATTATAATTGCTGGGAAATCATAAAAACTGTAATTACAACTTTTAATTCTGCTACAGGTTTAGTAATGCTCAAATAGTAAATTTGGTGGGGCAGTGTTTGTAAAAATAAAAAACTGTGCTTCAGAACTGAGATAAGGTGACCAGTTGCACCTCGCTAAAGCAACTACATATAAAAACCAAGCCATATATATAATGGTACTTTGGTTTTATTAATAAAAGAGCTGAATGTTAAAATTTGTGTTGTGTGCCTACAACTGAACACCTAGGAAGAACAATGGGCTATCCCACACTTTATTAAAACAGAGAAATTCTAAGCATGGCTGCTCTAATTCCATTCCAAAGATTCTGAAAGACAAATTTAAAAACAACAAACCATTTGTGGCTCAGCCCATCTCCATCTAAAAATATAGGGCAACAGATTCACTTTTTTAACCATTCCAGATTTTTCAGCTTGTAGGTTAGCACATTGTTTGTTACCATCAACTCTTTAATCCACAAAGAACCTTTGCCCAAGTCATGTCTTCTGAAATACTGCTACTCATGTAAATGTGTACTTTTATAACCACGCACTTGAAATGCATCTTTGCTACTGAAATTGTTGTAAAGACAGTTTATTACACCTGTATGACATCCTGCCACATTTAAAAAAGATTTTATATTTTTATTAAAATTTCTTTGCAGTATTACATCATAATTTTTTGTTACACTGTCTCTATCTTAATTTTGCCCAAAAAACAATCATTAAAGAAGGGAAATTATATTGTTCGGATGGCTGGCTTGCAAGTCTTGAACAAGGGGAAGAAAGATAAGATACATGCTTCTTTAAACTGATTAAAACTATTTGATATTCTAGCAAAACAAAAATTGTACTCCTTCCCCTACATACAATTCCATACTTGCAAGTATCAGAAAGCCACCAATTCCCTCTCCTCCTCTCATGTATTATTTTGCTGCACAATAAAATTGAATATTTTGTAATAATCTGACCTTCCAGTCACTGCTAATGCCTCTCTGCCAAATTAGTCTATAAATTTTCTTTGCAACTTCTTAAGAAACAAATGAGTATAATAAATTAATTTAACAACATTAACAATTGATTTTCCTTCTTTATACAAAAAGAAGAAACGTTCATCATCAATATCAATAACTTATGCAGTGAAAGCAGATGTTAATCATGTGAAAGAGTAAGCCATATGTCCATATTGTCATTTCATTGTATGGTTAAGATCCAAACACTATATACTTCCCATCCTTCGTCACTTCTTTAAATGATTATACACATTCTATAAACACTCTGCAGCTGTAACTCCCCTCAAACTGACTTAATGGCTTTAAATAACTCTGAAGTATCCATAGTGCTGCAAGTAAAGGTAGAAGTACAAATGAGGGATTACTGTATTTTTATATCAATATAAATGACTGTCACAACCCTTTGCTCATTTTCAAATTAAAGGGTCAAAGTAACAGGGGCTACATTACAAAACAAAGTCATCACATCTCTGATCATGAAATCACATGCCTTCAAAAACTGCACCAATATTTGTAAGACTTTCACATAACAAGAATGTATATTATCCTGGGACAATACAACTGTCTACAGCTAACGTCTTCCTCTTCCTCAAAGTACATGTCTTACAGTGTAGTGTTGCAACCTAGCAGTCTGGCATCAACTGTCATTTACAAAACAAGAATTTCCAAAACCAAATCTCACTCATTCCAGGAGGCAGATGAGTATATATTCTATGTACGGGAATGCAGTCATTTAAGGCTCTTATACCTCAAACACCAGGTTTAGAAAGAGAAGCCTGTTCAAGAACTGTCAAACTGGCATTAAAACACATTACAACTAGCATTACTAGAATGTGATTTGACTTTTAGCCAGCTATTTCATATAATTAACAATGAGTCCCAACATCCAAACTTTTGATATCAAGGCACCACTGTTCCACAGCAGGGGACAAGAGGTAATGAGCTCTCCAAGAAAATAAGTCTCACTATTAATTTGGAATTACTGACAAATAATTTTGAACACATATATTATACAAACAAAATCACAGACGGTATACGATACTACTGACACACGGTATGAAGCCAAACATTATAACGAGTATTCCACTCACAGATATGTGCCTGAATGAGAAGAAGACATTAGGATGTTAAAAAACGTCTATACAAATATTGGTGCTTGTTGGATGTCACCGCCCACCTCCCTGCTCTCTGTTGCTACTAGCCCGCTGCATGCCTATCCAACAACCACACCATCTACCAAAAGGTATATCCTCCATCACTGCCTCCAGCCAGGAATGAGCCCTTTTTTTGAGAGAGTGCAACATTATGACCTGCCATGGCTGCCAGTTGTGCAGCATTTGCTGGAACACCAGGTGGAGCTGGTGGCAGTACTTGCTGTGCAATTCCATCAAATCGTGCTCCAGCATCAAAGCCATTCTGGAGGATAAACACACAATCATTCAGAATAGATACACAAAACAGAACAATCACATCACGTACTTCCAAGTAACAGAAAGCTCTAGATACCAGACAGATACAATATAGTAAGTTTCCATTTGAGGAAGTGATGTATATTTTAACTAATTTTTAACATCTGAAACACACATTGCAATTTTAATTTTATTTGACATCATCAATGTTAATGTGACTTTGGACTATATTTCACATGTATGCAAAGATCCTCTCACTCTGCCAGCTTTATTTCTAATTTGTAATGTTAAAATGTGAAAGTCTAATGATCACAGATATATACTACAGGCGGCCTCTACATAGATCATTGGTTTAAACACTTGTGTCACCATGGTAAGTCAAATCAGCAAGACTTCCACCACAGCTACATATTACCATTATTCTTTTAAAAGTAATCCATCACAATTTTCTGATCATACAATCAGTAACATTTATACTGTCTTTAAAAACTCCTTGTCAATGACCATAGAGTGAATTAGTAGTGCACATCAGGGTCATTATACAAATACTGGGAACGATCCGTTCTTCAAGTGCCTGAGCACTGCAGGTCCCAACTTTTCGTTGGCTCGATTTATAGACATTTGGTAGGACTCCTTGGACGAGGGATCGGCCCGTCGCAAGGCCTCTACCTGTACACAGGACAGCACAACACAGAAATACATGGACAAATATCCAATCCATGGCTTGAGTGGGATTCAAACCCACGGCCCCAGCGACAAATCGGCACAAGGCCCATGCCTCAGACAGCGCAGCCACTGCGGACCCCCATTATACTAATATTTACATGAAAGGCAATTAGATGGCAGATATTAACACAACAATAATTCCTTACTTTATAATATATATATTACATTTCGCTTTAGTTTATGTAAGTACACACTCATGCAGACACGCACACCTATGTCTACTCATAAAAAATGAGATCAAGGTGAAAACAAAAAATGTAAAATAAAATGTCTTCAAATTAATCTTCTTTTGTAAAGTATTTTTATGCCTGGAATGTATTTAAAACGGCCAGGTGTGAGAACTTACAGGAACCATGATTGTGGGCCGCAGCTGGGCAGGCTGCATGCCTGGATAAGAGTATGCAGCTGCAAGAGATGGATAGTATGCCTGCATAGGACTGTATGCAGCAGCTGCTGTAGGATATCCCAGATATCCAGGATAACCTTGAGCTGCATACATCTGTGCAGCTGCAGCACTCTGTGCATACATCTGCAAACATACAATGCAAGTCCATCAGTAAACCGTGTTGGTATTCTATCTCTTAAATACCTGCAGACAGTATACTGGCTACTGTATATGAACTTCACAGATGTATATAGCCAGTTAACTGGCCACAAGCTTGGGAATCCCTTACTAGCCTTTCTTTGATCTTTTGTGTCAGCTGGTGAGTGAGGGAATGCAGGTCACATCCTCCTGGAGACATAGCAGTGCTATGTTTCACACAAACACGCACAGGAACCTAAAGGTCAACTAATATATCAGCTGATTTGTTGCTCCAGAGTTCAGGACTTACAACTTCTGCTTTATATGTCTGTTAGACTTTTAAAGATGAACTTACATGATGCAATGCTAAGGCAAATGGTTTGTTTTGTTGTTGTTGAGTTCAGAAGAAGACTGAAGTTAGTTACTCTGTCTTTAGACCAAGAAGTCATGGTTGCAGAAAGGAAGTTCGACAGTGTTGACACTGAATGGGAAATACACTAGACAGTGATTCAGAAGACTACTGCAAGCCAAGTGACACAGAAGATGAACAAGGAGAGCAGCAACTTGAACAAGACCCTCAACCTGGGACCAGTAGACAGTTGAAACGGGAACCTCCACGACGTACTAATGTTCTATTTCACAGGAGTTACCCAAATGCACTGACACCAGCCATCATCAAGAGCTACAACATGCATATGGTGTATGTTGACAATCACAATCAAATGGTAAATAGCTAATCAATCAGTCAACGTACTTTCAAGCGAACAAAGAAACTATTTTTTCATATCCAGTTTGACCTTGCAATTCTCAATACCTGGATTTTGTAGTCAACTTATGGGGTTAAGTATCCAAAGCAAGATTTCTGGCTTCTCTTGGTGATAAATCTGATATATGAAGCCAGAAAACTCAGGTGCTTTCATCTTCCCATGGTTAGAGGACCAAACTCCACAGCCACAAAACTGGATCATCTTAAACCAAGACATAGCCAGCACTGACCAGGAAAAGGCAACATACTGCCATGTTTGTTCAGTGCATAGAGTGTGTAAGTGGCCAAATTATAATTGTGTCAAGCAGAGTATGGGAATCCTTGCTTTGAAGAATATCAAACAAAACTTGATTTGTGATAAATAGGAGCAGCAACAGATACAAATGCGATGATTTTCTGGACACACAAGTAAGAACAGCAATTTTATATCACCATTTTTACAAAGTATAGGTACATTTTAGAATTCATACCTAGAATACTGATTTCATATATTGACCCATTATGTTTTACTTCATTAGGTTTAATATTATTCTGTTGATTTTGTTAAAATAGTTCCTGAGATATCAATTATTTGTGAAAGTTCACACAGAAATTTAAATACCCACAAAAAGAACTTGGTCTAGCAGAGATGTAAACTGGTGACTTAAAAGAGCACAGTAAAGGTTAATCTACCCTTTACAGCCCTGTGATAACTGTAAGTACCATTTGCTTTAACAATCAATAACTATGCAGCAAAATCTTCTTTGATAACCAGCTGCATCAAAGCTGGGTTAAAATCGGATGTTTCTGAGAACTGTCTGCATCATCAGGGTAAATGTCAGTAACTCTGCATTTTACCCACAGATGGCTTTTATGGGTTATATGTACCTGCAACACACATTTTTATATCCGTGACATTGCAGAGCATCTTTTTTCAGCATGGTCATTTATGATCTAGATCATGGTTTTCTATATTTCTGCTCTTCCCCAAATAAATGTGGACACAACATGTACATGTATTCAAGCCAAGCTTCAATAATGACACAATACCAACCATAGAACAAAACTCCTGATTGCTGCTGGCATGGCACTTCCTACACTGTAAGCACGCTTCCTTGACCTTGAAATGAAAGAGAACAGCTGCATTACCCATTCTAAAGCATTATCTTCTGAGTACTATGGTGATGTGAATACACTGACTCCAGCACAGTATTATCTGAGTATACAAGTGTAGGACACTTGTTTTTTTTTTTTCCAGATGCCCAAATACAGAAAAAACCTCATCCTTTATTCAGGTAAGTAATGCAAATGGAAGCACTTGTAAGTTCTTCTCAGAACTTATTTAAACTCACTACGTTATTCAACTTTACCACAATCAATACACCATCGCAATATTTTCCAGTAGCAGACAAACTTGGTGCTTCACTACTATTACAAAACATACTCCTTTCCTTTGGAGGGCTTCTTCTTCTAGTTATAGTCAGTCTATTTTGGGCACAGAGAAACATAAATTCCCCAATTTTTGGGTTCCCTCTAACCATCTTCTTACTATGAGTTAATATTTTACAGTATACTGGGACCCTCACACAGAACATTCTTTCTACACAATCTTCCTAATTTCTTCTCTAGTGGTATATAAAAACTGGAACTTTTAGTTGATAATTTTATCGTCAAACTACAGAAGGCATTATATCCTTGCAGCAAAAGCTTGAATAAATGATATTTAAAAATTCAATTCTTAACCTCAAAGAAAACAAAACACTTTTCCATTACAAAGATCAATTTGTTAAAATTAAATAAAGTAATTGCTCTTTACTATGAGAATAATACGAAATCCATAAATTCACTCAGTGTGCAAGATGCAGAGTTATTGATTGTTAAAGCAGGTGGTACATGTGGTTACCAAAGGGCGGTAAAGCGTTAAATTTATATGAATTACAGTGTTCATAACTGCATGTCCCATGACACTTTGCGATAGTTTCAATCACTCCAAAATGTCCTGGACAATGCATGATAATAATGGCTAACATAAATGAATCAGAAAAATGAACAACTTAATTCACTTGATGGAAGTGCAACTTGTCAGAAAAAAAACATAAAACACACATTTGTGGGCCAGGGCATGAAACAATCTACTGCTAGTCAGCAATGATTCTTTACTCACAGACCAAGAGATGAGTAAATATGTTTTATTCCGAGAATAAAATTCAGTGGAATATTTTAATAATTGCAAACCTAAAACATGCACATATATGGATAGTCTCTACACCTCTTCTTGCTTATACCTTACACAAACATTTCAAGACATATTAAAACATCAATCATGAGAGTATTGGTTCATATTGTTACTAAAGCCGACAGATATTACATTTACTGATCACATAAACTTTGGAAAATGTGCCTGGCATCACTTGTCACATAGATTTTTGTCTCTGTGTAAAGTGGCTAACACAAGGTTCTAAAAGTCACCTGCTGGTTCACAGCAGCAGCAGTGGCTGCAGCAGGGTGTGCCAAAGACTGGTCATAAGTTGGTGGTGGACCCTGGGCTGCAGCAGCTGCAGCATAAAGTTGCGCCTGTGATGGGAACACTCCATATGGAGCACCTGCGCCTGGAACTAAGAAACAAACACATTTGAACTGCATTAATATTTTAAACTGGAGATTCACATGGTCAGATACACAAATTACATTCCAAGGTAATATCAAGCAGCAACAATCTCTGGTTCCTGTAACATAAAGTACCTCACATGGCAAACAAAAGCAGAGAGCAACTGCATATTCTTTTATGTGACATTCTCTAGTTAAAAACTTACAAATACTGTTTCTGAACCTGCTAAATTTCACACTATGACGACAATTTTATCTTCATACATAACATGGCTTCAGTACCAAGGCAAGCTGGACAGACAAAGAATGTACAATCAAGGTCAAACAAAAATGTGTGTCAGCTATGACCTCAATAGGTGTTGTCATTTTTTTTTTTTTTTTGGGGGGGGGGGTTGAGAGGAATGCCTGATGTAATAATGCTAAATTTACTGAATACAGGCATGGGAAAAACAAGGCAAATATTGAAGAGAATTACTTCTTGCAAACAGCAGTGTAATTAGCAAACAATCACATTATTTGTGGCTTTGTACCCTAATATGACAAATACTGAGAACAAACTGTACAACTTATATGCATTCTCATTTACCAAAATGTAGGCCTGTACTTAATTCTACACTGTCTCAAGCTGAAAGGGTTAAACAAGATTCAAACAAGAGATTCTTTTTAGTAAAGAAAGCATACACTGTTTAATATTTGTTTAATGTAGTTTGAGGCAAGCATGTCTGTCCTTTTGGGTTTCTTTTAAAGAAACATTTCCACACTTACAATTAATGCCATCAAATGCCACATACTTCAAAACAGCAACAGCCTCACTGTTTCCTGTCTTATGGAACCAACTGCACGTTATTTCATCATGAGACAATTCAACCCAAGTGACCATATAACTTAAAAAAAAATTAAAAATCAAGGCCCTACAATACAACTTACCATGTTAAACACTTCAGTATTTATGGGTAAAATGAGCCTAATTCATGAGCACTCCAAGTGGTCTAAAACCTACTACACAACCCCAATTTGGTGGCCTTATCAAAATTACCTTACTTTCAAGATTTTTTTCCCCACTCATCAATGGCACTCCAGTTATATTATGCAATATATGGTGACTACTTTTTTGTTTTCCTATATATTCATACATGAATTCCTTAATCATATATAAAATGGTGTCAATGAATTACATTCCATACCATTTAAAAGAATGTCAGGCAGTAACTTAAGAATGGGTTTTTTTCCTTTTGCATAATGCATACAATGTGTTAAATGTGTTGAGGGGGGGGGAGGGGTTACAAAAAGAACCCCCACTGATAAAATCTATACCCAGAATAAAATCAAACTGTTTGTTGAAAAAATTATCTACAAATATTGACATCAGCTAATAAAAGAGACACAGGTAATATGCATAGAGGTTTGGTGGAGCATATTAAACAAATAAGCAAAATGGAATATAAAAGTAAAGTTATTAGATTGCCCAAGCACCATACAATAAAGATGAGACAGAAAAAGACTGTAAAGGTATAACTACTGGAATGCAAAGTTCCACCAGGGTAAACACGCCCTGAGGACATGAATTGGATTAAACAGACTCTTGAAGCACATTCAATGCCAACACTATTTGAGAATAACTCAGCCTCAGAGTTTTATCACATACTGTCAAAATCATTTATTTGTTCTTCAATAAATCCTGTATCAGCCATATTGTTCTACAAAATAAACAAAAATAAGCATTTATACAGTATGTAACATTTTAATGTAAATGTTAAATGTTGTTCTTTTCAGTGACACTACTTGCAAGACATATATAAATTACTGGCAGCCAAGCATAGGTGCCAAGTGAAGCATTTTGTAACAAACCCACAATACTTATATAAAAATTCCAAGTCTGAGATAGAAAGTCACATTAAATTTCAGTAAAATGAGAAAACTACATGGTCAATTCTTCTGACCTTCATTTTCATTTTGGGTCTATTAAAAATCTGTAAGCCTTGAAATCCATGTTTGGTGGGTCCCTGTCACCACAGCATGGTGTCTTTCAGGTTAGGATGGAGGAACAGCCCCCAGTTATGGAGGTTAGCTGTGAATCTATTGAATAAGCAGTTGTGGACATTCTTCAAGGAGTGGTTCTCCATCTTGGGGGTTGGGCATGAGGCCAACAACCGTTTACCACAAAAAACTGTATTGTTACAAAAAAATTAATGAAGCCTTGGAACTGGACAAACTCTTTGTGGCCCAGGACAGGGACCGGTGGAGGACTTGTGTTAATTCAGTGATGAACTTTTGGATTCTGTAAGCCATCTAGTTCGTTGATTAAGTCTTGAAATAACTTTTCACCACTAAAATTGTACTATGATGCAGAAACACAACAGATGTTTAATGTATGGGGTATGGATGAACAAGATGTCTTCCTTTGCACAGATTTGACTGTCATGATACTACTGAAAGGATATCTGCACAATACTAAAAAATAACAGTAATATATTTGCTTACTGTTACTATGTAAATGAACATAATCTACAAATTTCCAGGGTGCATAACACTTCTGTAAAAATTCTTAGACAAGATATTTTTGTCCCTTTGCTTGGCTGCCTAACATAATGAGAAAAGATTTCAACAAATTCAATATCATAGATAAACTAATATATATTACAATCCTGAACAAACAGCTGCTTTCAAAATAGAACCAACTAATAGAACAAACTCAAATCATCATATACACACACCTCATATTTTCACTCACATAAACATTGTATTCTGAAAACTTTGACTCAAATGCATCACACTAATGTTTGTTTCATAAGATCCAGGAATTGTTTTAGACATGAGATCAAGCAAACATGTATGAACTGACAATAAAGTTGAAAGAAATTTCAACCTTAATAAAAGAAACTGCACCAAAGAAGAATTACAAATATAATATAACTATAGTGTGTGGTACAAGTCTGAGTGCATGTGTGTATGTGCATATGCATGCACACACACACACACAGAATCTAAAATATCACTGTCATGTAGGTCTCTTAGGTACAAGTGAAGACTTACACTCACCTCCATAGGCTCCTGGAGGAGGAGCAGGCACATAACCTGCTGGAGGCTGACCAGCTACAGGGTAAGCTGAAACATAATACACAACTGAGCGTAAGTGGCCATCAGGTAAGTGGCACAATCCTAGCAAGTAAAAGCATACAGACAAGTTTATATGGCAGGTAGAGGGTGGGGGGGAGACAGACAAAAATTATAACGGAAAGTCAAGAGTGAACCATAAAATGTTGAAAAGCAGAGAGAACCATGAGAATGAGGAAAGTGACTGTGGTGCTCAGTACTGCCAACCTTATATTGCAAGGTTATGACATGTTAGCATCTTCATTATTCATATCACTTTTTGGAATGCATATTGGAATAATCCACAGCTTTTTACTACTGATATCACATTCTCTCATGTGATTTGTTTAAAGTAGAATTACTAACTAATAACAAACGAAATGAAACAGGCTCACAAATCAGATATACAGAGATGATAAAGATGCTAATTCATAGGAGCCTTCAGGTACAGTAACCAATATCTAGTATAAGCACTGAACACCAAGGAGCAAGACAATGAGACACACTACTGGTTGGAGAAATGGCAAACACCTTGACATGGGAATGAAGCCAACTACGAATTTCATATTGGACACAAAAATTTAGAGGTTTGTGACTCAACTCTGTGCAAGAATCTGTAGACTATGAGTCATTTACAATAAAGGTCTTAAGGGTGAGGGGGAAGAATCATAAACTTTAGAAATCCTTAACATTTCAACAAAAATTACACAACTGGTTCACCTTAAATAAATGTCTTTATTTACTTTTATCTTACTTTTAAAAACTGCTTAAATTAACTGACGTTGACACCAAAACACATCTAGGTGCGACAAACACTTAAAAAATCTGCTTTCAAAACGCCTGCCAATTGGAACAGCCCACATGGAAAAAGTAAAAATAAATGGAATAAAAATTATAAAGGGAATGAATGTGATAAAATAAAATTTTGAACTATCTTTTTTTGCAGACCACACCACTATATAAAATAAACCCAAGCCTCAGCAAAAATATTCATGCCACACTACAAAAGTAAGAACTATACAAATAAAACCAAACTATTACCATGTGCCACTGTAATTCATGCATACACATGCATAACTAGACTCAACCTATGAGGCATCCAACAGACTATGTGACAATAAAAATTAAAGTAACTGGTATCATGCAACTGTGCAATTTACACTAGTTGGCATCAACTGGCACTAGTAGCAAAGATGTTCCAAATTATAAGGAATCACAATGCAGCTCTTCATTTTATTTCTGGAAACAATGTGTCACTAATTTATGTAACCAGTGCCAATTAATTATCAACAAAGCAATGAAATTCCAAAACTGTGCTTCACAACATTCGACTACCATCAGCTCAGTCATTTAATTCTGAATGAAATGTGTTAACTAAAGCTTTCTTTCATAATCTTTCTATACTTTACTTTAACAATTTGTTCCAAAGCAATGAGATAAAATGAAGCACAAAATCTACAGGCTGAGCTGAGGGAAATCTCATATATACAGTCCTTCAAGCAAAGTTATTTGCTTCAACTCAAGTTTGTTGCATCAAACTACTTTTATGCACTGCTGTACCTCCCTGGGGTTCTACTGAAGAAATTATGGTCCTTGACATAGAACGTAATTATAGAGCAACCAGGTGGTACAACCTTGCATACATAAAAGGTGAGAACATGCAAGAGCTATATGTACTTAACAAACAAAACATGCTTGTGCAAGTCACCTGCAAATATCCTCAGTGAACTTCAAGACAACAGTTTATAGAACAGAGTCTGCTACTTCAATTGCACTGCTATCAACAGCACAATTAATTATCATTTTCTTTTCTGTGCAAACAAGATCTGCTTTCTAACATGGTAGTGAGGGGCATATTTTATCAATATCACCTACACCAAGACTAAGACTGTTCCAATTTTCTTCTTCTTCCAATTATACTTCCAAGTCTCATATTTCAGTTCATGAATCACAATTAGGGGCACTATTGTTAAGTACACCAGCAAAGAAAACTGGATACAACACTAAAGAAAGCTTGCAAGAAGCTTTTATTTGTCTATGGAAAAGGATATATCAGGCTCTATCATATAATATGCTGTCACTACATGCTGTGGCCATGCAATCCAATCTGACAGTATAAGAACAGACCATGCAAAATATTTTCAGGCTGGCATGCAAATCCTGGAATCTACATCTTGGGAGGTTGAGGTATCTCAAAGATGTTACAAAAGAACAAGAAAATTTAATACAAGCAGATTCCAGGTTTCCTTTAAAACAAAATAACCATGCAAGCCATTACTTTTAACATACTGTACATATTTAAAAAATAAAGCATTACAAAAGCAGTGATTCATAAATGTAAATACATATGCATGCTAAATTCAAAAATCCACCAAAGTATATGTAACAATCTACACATGCTCATAACAAGACTGAAGAATTTGCAAAATTAAATATAATAACTGCCAATTGTCACATGGAACAACCAACCAACTGCAAATTACGTTAGTCACTTAAAACTGCTATGCAAATTGCCTGGCCATTAAAATAAAAAAATAATTATATCATATATAAAATGGCAGGAAAACTAGATTTGATGACAGCTTGGTACCATATTTCTGCAAGCATTACCAGGTAGAGTGAGCTCTTGCTTCAGATGTACCAGTCATTCCTGAGCTCTGGTGTTCCTGCCAGTGGGCTTTGTAGCTGAGGATATGAGTGCCAAATAACACCACGGTGACATGTCGTTTTAAAAACCCATCAAAAACTACCGTACAGCAAAATCAGTTACAGAATGCAGGAACTGACAACCATCACATATACGACAGGTGCTAACTGACAGCTAAAATCACAAAATTTTTAAGCCTGAGGGAGTCCCAGCTTCCCGGGTCATAACTTACTGTCAGTTCCTACTTTCTGCCCATGCAAAATTTCTCACATCATATTTCAGACGAGAAAAATAAATATAAGTAACAGACGTTTGCACGCACGCACTCCAATTTGCTACACTAAGGAGATATCTAGTGAAGGAGAATGATAAAGACAAGCAGCCAGCCAGTTCGGAATAACACGTAGAGGAAGAATACGTTTTGTGTTTAAATACGCTGCCACTTTTCTAGTACAGGCCAACGAGATTATCCCCGCCAAGAAACATCCACAACAGGAAAGCTGCAAGGAATAATTATACAATGTTTACCCTGGACAAAGTTTTTTTTAAATGTATTATTAGCTCTCTCTCTCTGTGTCAGTGTCAAGCTGAGCCCCGCATCATGTCAAATTTGCCAAGTAGGCAAATGTGAATGGCTCTTTTAGTGCACGAGAGTATCCCTCTGAAATAAAAAGACAACAAAAAGCAGCACCAAAAACACACGTTAAATCCTATTTCATCTGTAAGATTGCATAAATCATTGCTGTGAGCAGACTACAAATATTGGCTCTGTCCATTGCTGGATACAGCACATTAAATCTTAATATATCACTTCAAACCTGGGTATACACTATTATATAATCCGACATATGCTATTGTTTGGCCAAAAATTATTTATGCATATTTCATTCACTGCTGGCTCTTATAACATTTAAGCCTTCAAATACTTCGTATGCAAATTCTCAAAACCATTTGACAGGTTAAACGAAGGGGCCATTTTGTTTATCCAAAAGTATTGATTACCTCATCGTCAGAAATTAAACATTTATAATAACGTCCCATTCGTATTGTTTTGTTGAATCTTATTCATACTGATAAATAATGAAACACTATAAAACAAGATAAAAGTATTTAGGCCAGCATCGTACTTATTTTGGGCGTTAAGGAAAACTATGCGAATAAGACGGGCAAATTTAACTTTTATTCCGACACATTACAGGTATTACAATACATACACAGATTTCAAATACTTTGTATAAAAACCAAACATACCTTTCTTCTCGGACATTATGAGATATAGTTAACGATAAACTACTTTGAAAAGTACAGGATATACGTTTTTTGCTTGCGACACTTAATGGATGCTCGAAAGTAGAAACACTAGCGCCTTGTCATTGATTCCGTAATAGATTGTCCAAAGAATGTCGACCGCAACCTGATTTCAGCGACACCTATTGCCAACATATTACAGTGAAAATTCGACTTATACGCGGTGTAATATGAAGTAAGATGTGTCATACATAGAAAATACAGGTGAAAAATCTCCTAATATAAAATTATTACAGGTATTAAAACATCTCATATGCTTGGTACGGAATTTAGCAATCACTTACAAAGAAATTAGAAGTTCCGTTTTATATCTACATTCCAATATGATCAAATGGGATGAAGCTTCTCACATTTTCTCGCGTTGTCTCGCAAAACAAGACGCAATCAGTTTGACCAACAAGTAAGACGTGTTTTGTAAAGTATTTTAGAAACAATGGAGGGTTTAACGATTACACTAGTAGATTGGGTGCATCAAGATAATAAGTGGGTTTCTTAAAATTGTAAAACTTATTAGTTATACTGTTCGGTTATAAGTACGTTACATTGCGTTCAAATATTATTAAACACGTTTAAAAAATTGTGTGAAGGTAGCTTGGCAATACTGGCTCTCTGTCACACTGAAGTGATTGTAGTAGTGTACGCTTTTATTCATTGATATTTTAGGTGGAAATAAATTACAAATTTATATATTTTTAACTTCTCTGTTAAAAGTAAAGAGACTCTTTTGTTATGTTATATATTGAGAGGTAAGTATATGGATTCTTAAGCTATGAAGTACTACTTTCATCACTCGTTTCTCTGGCAAGCCACTTCATATTCTGGGAAACAAAAGCTTTCCACACAGAAACTTATTTTGAATATAATCGCATTGTAGACTGCATGTGTATCCAAAAGATATCCGGGAATTTGGTTTTAATGTGATGTATAATGTGCTATGAACCACAACATTGTCAAGGGTACATAGCACTGATTTCACTTTTCAGGATTCATTATTTCCGCATGGTAAGTACAAGCATAAAGTGAGTTTAGAAAAGAATACTCTGAGACATTTATGTTATTTTCAGCTGAAGAATACACTTGGCTGGCCTCCACTTGCTATGTCAGGACATAGAAATCAGAACAACCCTCCTGGGCTGAAGCAGATTGATCTTGACCAGATCTGGGGTGATCTCAGGGAAGGCATAGAGCAAGTGTATAGTCGTCAGGGCATGTCTAAGCCTCGCTATATGGAACTTTATACGTATCCTTTAGTGTCTTACAGTATTTTGACTTAAATACGTCTATACGGAAGGGTCATTCGTCAAAAATGTGTAACAAAAAAGTGACAGGAAAATGTGTAAGATCGAATCAACAAATCGACAACAATGGTTAGCTTGCGTGCATTGTTGTTACCTAGGAAACGTCATCTGTTTACTCGGCATTGTTGTATTACATTACTTTCGTTATTGCGGCAAGAGCTGAGCTGTGAATCGTTTGTAGAGTGGAGTAGATTTTATTTACATTCCATAGAT